CATCAAGTTTTATATGCCAAAAAATTTGCGCATATTCTATGCGTCTCGTGGTATCGTTTCAGAAAGCAACGACCTTTTAATTAACTTCGATTGTTTAACCGAACGATATAGTATTTCGTAAGCGACATAACTGAATGAACTATTCTTAAGATTGTGAAATTTTTATTCATAATTTCGCACGCTACTCGATGCTGACTTACAAAAACTGTTAAAGTAAATAAAGAATCTACAAATATCGTTCATCCATGGGGTGTCAGCGAATATTTTCGATACAACAATGTGTGCATTCATAAAATAGTCAAGCCGACTCATCGTCGCATTTGTCGCAATAGGGCCCAATCAACTTTTTTGTTGATAATCAAGATTCTTATCGCCCGTATGAGCAGTCATATTATTTTTCGCTAATCATATAATAATGATTTAACGCTTTATGTGCGAGCTCGCCACAGGCATCCATCCATCCGAGCTGCTTCTTCTTCTTCCTACGTACTCATTGTGTATTAGAAATCATTTTTTTGTTCATTGCAAGCGTATCTGTATTGTACCGACTTACGTCAGATAAAATTGGTTTATAAAGACGCGAGCGCAAGGCATCATTCATTACGCAAAGAAACTGCTGCTGCTTTCTTTTCGATTGATTGAGATGCTGCGCGCTCATAATGTATGTGTGTGTGTGTGCCATGGGTCGCGAGCACGTGAATACCTCATTACCACTTGTTGAATAATTTTCGGCTTGTATGCGATAAAAACTTTAACAAGTGCGAGAGTGTTAAAATTTACTTCAAATAAAAATTCGCCTACACGTAGCTGACCGAATGCCCCGCAACAACTCGACCTACAAAAACTCTTGTATTATAATGTTCTCGTTGAAAAATGACAACTTAATTGTCGTTATAGAGATGTCACCTTTTTAGAACGACTAGTGAATTTTGCATCAATCGATGTATACGATTGATTACCGAATCTATGCTCGAGTTAATAATACTCAATTTTGACACTCACTGACTGATTATCAATTATATTAGAAAATTTATTTAGTTGCGATATGTACTGTTTCACAAAGCTTAACTTTACATAATAGTTTCATCGAGTTATCATTAGAATTATATTTTTAATTGATGTATCATATGGATAATTAAATTGAACAGAAGATGATTAAAATTTTAGAATAGGAGATTCGTGAGAAAAAACGTATTCATATAGTATTAAATCGTAAATATTAATTTTTATCGGACAATGGACAGAAATCGTCACAAACTCACTTTTTCTGTTCTATTTTCTCCGTCAGTATAAACAGAACAATAAAATTCAACTATTGATTTTTAAACTTGCTAATAATCAAAAAATTGTATGATTATTTTAACGGTAGGAAAATCTTTAGTACGAATAAATCAACACATTCTTCGGAAAATTCTCAAAAATCATGTTTTTTACTCTGAGTTAATATTAGTGTTTTTTATATGATCAACGAGTGATCACTTGGGTCACTATCAAATACCAAAAAACTACTATCATTTTATGTCTGATTCATGCATTAGAAATTTATAGCGATATCATGTATAAAATTTCAATTCTAATCTTTTAGATTATTTTCAAGATGAATCATTCTCGGGTAATGGATAAATCTTTGGATAAAGATATCACAAGGGCTCAGTGCAATTTTACGAGAAATTTTTTATGGAATCCTTTTACAATTGTCACCGCTTATTGAGTAAAACGAGACCTTGAAATACACTATTAGTCGTAGTATTAATCAATCAACCTCTAATGGCAGGAAAGTGTACTCCCAATAATTATTTAGTGAAAATTGGATCGAAGTCGTTAATTTTATTGAACTATGAATAAATCTTGTAACATTTTTCTTAAAGTCCAAGTTTTTACAGTTTTATAATTGACAAGACAATTTAAATATTTAAGAAAATTTAGTTTTTTCAAATTACTATAAAAAGTGCTTTAAATTGTGTTTTTCTTTTTGCTCTAGTATTCATAGTAAATTTTTCTGATGTGTTAGCGAAAAACTTTTTAGTTTCAGTTAGCCAATTATATTATAAGAGATAATTTTTACACTTCTAAATTCTTTATGAGTTCATATAAGTTGAGTCCTTGAGAAGTAGATTAATTCACTTCATATAGTCGAGCATTCATCGAGTATCATTTTAATATACTAAAATTCTTTTATCTCCAGTCATATACTTTCACTCGTATATTTGCTCTATTTACACATCCTTACAATTCATCCAAAAATGCAATCAGCTGAAAGGGGTAAAGATTTCGTCAACTAAGCTAATTTTTATTTTAAAACAAGTAATTTTTAATTGTTTAGTATCTTTCATTTATGACAATTTATAATACCATAGGCCAAATATTATACATAAAATAGTTTTATGTAATATATGATTAATACTGCTTAGATGGTTTTATTAGGCACCTTTTGGATATTTTATTACTACGGCATATATTTTTTGTTCTCGGGCCATAGTAATGCAGTATGGACATTAAAAAATATAAATTAATTTTTGTTTCTAGTAGAAGTCACTAAAACTAGTTTTCATACCTCATTCACAGTTTTAAATATTAACTTGTATAATATAAAATATATAAATATAAAATATAAAATTAAGTTGAATGTTCGAAAAATTCTTTTTTTCTGAAAAATCTTGAATTTAATCGTAACCTCGCTGAAAAAAACATCGATCGAGATTACGATACCTTCTCTTCAAGGTTTTGGAATAAAATCTTCAAGTCAAAAGTTTAAACGTACGTTGGTCGGAGTATGCCCACTGTCTGTAGAATAAATAAAAATCACACGGTTGATATAAGATTTACTTTTTATAATATATTCAGAAATAAACATCTTCGCTTGGACAACTCGTAGGCATATTTTACGCCCAATCAATAAAGCCAGGTCAACTTAATTTTTGTACCATCAAGTCTTAGGTTGCTACATTTTTATTCAAGATGATCGTATTATTTGCATTTACACACATTGAAAAGTGATATTATGGCCCTAAAAAGTTATCGATCGCCAGACTACAAAAGCTAAGACTACTGATGTTTATATAAATATAAAGAAACAATAATTATTTTTTATTTTCCACTGCATAAGGCACAAGACAAAAATACTTGTCATGATGTGAAATAGAAGCTTTACCGACGAACAAATAATTTTTTGGTGGAACAGAAAAATCTATTGAAAACATCAATTTAATTACCCTTTTATGGTAGTTATAAACATATTTTATGTATCAATTAATAATTATTTGAACCGATTTTGGTGATTTTATATTTTTTTTAATGAAAACAATTTTTTAAATTTATATAAGTTAATCTTAGAATATTACATTTAATTCATTTAAAACTCATTGAACTTATAAAAAATAGAAAAAAAAGTTGTGAAGGGTATTTGCTATAGTGTATAATGTCCTAGGTTCAAGATATTTTATTTCCAAAACTTGTATTGTAACATGAACAACCCGATACATCTTCGTGAATTTCATCATCAAGAACCATATATTCGCTTTATCGGAATTCTGCACGAGCGCTTGAATATGTAAAAGTTAAATTAAAAGACATTGGATTTTAACGTTTTATTTTTTTTATACTTTTTCGACAGATTCTCACGGACACCTATACCTAGTGGGGGGAAGATGAGCAAAAATTTGAGGATATATCGAGATTTTTGCAGTATAAAAGGACCGTGAATTCACCGAGTAAATCAGTAGCAAGCTTGCTTGTGTATCATCTAGTTCTCTTGAGTTACCAAGGAAATCTCCAACAACCTTCTCCACCATGAAATCGGTGCGTAATAACAAAGTGTTTTTTTAAACTATACGATTCAATTTTTTTATTAACTGGTAACCCGCTGATAGTTATATTGTATTCGAGGCACTTTGATTTGTGCGGACTAAAATTAAACTAATTTAATCCAATTTTTAAACAGTGCATTTATTCTATTATTCTTTTTTAAATCTGAATGCTAAAAAATATATTATCATTATATGTCGGACACATTTAATACTATTCTTATTTGTTATAATTTTCGATTTCCTTTAAATTATTTAAAAAATAGAATCTGGAGAGTTTGATCAAATTTCTTAAGAATATCTGAATAAACTCTAGTAGTCACACTTGTTTTATGAATCCATACCTATCATTCATATCAATCTATACCTAAGCAAAGTTTTCGTTGCTACTTTACAATTGGAAGTCTTGTTTTTTATTGAACAAAATAAAAGCGCGTAATTTTTTACTCACCGTCACTACGCAAATTTCATGCAACCTTCGATGCGTATTCCAAATACTCTGGATCATCAAGTAAAAAGTACAAAAAAAAAACGAAGGTGAACAGGTGCATCACGAGCTCGTCGAATGCGCTTGCCAAAAAAATTCGATCATTGCGCAAAACTAAAATAAATATCATATAAAATTCTTTCATAATCGTCGCAAAAGTTCTTCACTCACCAGACAATTGCTTTTTACCAGTTGATTATTAATATCCTAAGTAAATCGTGGAAAAATTCCTTTTAATTTTGTGACGATTTTTTATTTTCTATACGAATATCTCTGAGCTTAAACTTTCAATAATAATACGGAAAACTACAAGGTAGTAAATCTAGACAAGTATCGTGCATAACATCTCAATTACATCCATACAATTCACATAGTTTTTAATGAATTTACGCGCCTCTCATTCATGGGCGAAGTATCTCCTAGACAAACAGCCACGGAATACCTCATTATATTTTGGTCGGATTTTCAAGCATAGCTAAGTCCATAAAATTGCAATAAAATCAGCTTTTGCAATGGATCGCACGGGCATTAAAAGTGAAATAAGCCATAAAGTACAATGATTCACGAGATAGTCAAGAGTTGACGTTTCAGTCGTACGACTATACGTGCCAATCCCCGAAAGCATCATCAATTTTTCATCAATTATCTTAAATTACAACATCACAGCGTTACATAGAGAAATAATAATTTTGTTTTTGTCGTGTCAACAGGTCGCAGTATTCGTCGCCCTCTTCGCCGTGGCTTTGGCCGCACCCCAATTGAACAACCAATACCAATCCAATGTCCACCCAAGCGACAAAGACGCCGTCGTCGTGAAGGAAAACCACCACGAAAACATCGGTGTCGGCAACTACGGATACTCGTTCGAGCTTAGCAACGGACACGGACGCCAAGAACAAGCTGAATTCGTCGCCCCACGCAGCGCCGACGAGGAAGGTTTCTACCGCGTCACCGGCTCCTTCAGCTATGTCGACCCAGCCACCGGCCAGAGCTACACCGTCAACTACGTCGCTGACGAGAACGGTTTCCAGCCCACCGGCGCTCACTTGCCACAATAATTATGAGCAATCTCCCAGCTCTCAGTCCAATTTCATCCAAGTGTTTCGAAAAATTATAGTTTTTAGAAAACTAGATGTACTTTTTTTAAGAAATATATTTTTTATATAGACAATTTGCATAAAAAATAATGACTCGTTATTTCGGCAAAATATACCCTACATTGCTTACACATAATGAGACTTCACTATTCAAACGAGTACTTAAAAAGTCTAATGATTTAACGTGATTATTTAGGTAATACAATTTTTATTGATCAAAAATTGAATGTGAAGTATAATAGCTAAAGCAGCATTTAATAATGACAATAATTCTATTCTTTAACATATTTAACAAAAAAAATACATTTTTGGTACTTTAAACTGATGATGAAATAAATGTTTGATAATTTATTTTATACAATTGAATGTTTACGACAAAAAGGATAGTGAGTGTGATAGTAAGTTATAATGGGCTGATAATCTTAAAGCAGTAAATGAGAAAGATAAAGTGGGAATCTGCGGTAGAAATGGACATAGTAAGTATTTACAGAACGTGTCAACGATCTCTACATGGCTGCGGAACATAATTGAATGATAATAATATGCACACACGTGTACTCTAATTCTATGTAAAATCACGTAAATTCAACCTGATTATGAATTTCATCTCTAAGATTTATCTAAAGGTGCCTAAGATGAAAAAGATAATAGTTTTCATCCATAATAAATATTTTAGTTGTGAAACTCAAATTGCAAATATTATTTAAATTTTCATCATAATTTATAATAGCACACATTCGTACTCATCAATCACATCGTGATACGTTACATCATCAGCCATTCATAATTCTGATACGAAAACATATTTTTTAACTAAATAGTAAAATAGTTTGTTATGTTAGATACAATTAAATATCATCAAATTATTTGTAAAACTAATTTCGCAAAATTTAAAACTCTCCCTCAATACTTCGTCAGCATAAATAACATAAAATAATCAGGGTCTATAACTAGATCGACTGATTATCACGCACGATAATCAACGTAACGCCTTGGACTAGGCCTTGTTATGTAAGGGCAAAAGCTATCCGAGCTTCTTATTGCCATTCTCGAGAGAGTAAAAGTTTTTTTAGAAATCCTATTAATCAATTATGATTATCGATTTTCGCTTAAACGGAGCATAACAGGCTCATTTACGAAATATCAGTTTTATCCAATTGATATTTCAAGGCGTGTAAATTGTGTACCATACAATTTGTACTTACGAAAATAATCTCAATTTTTCACGTATAATATCAGGCACATTTACCCAGCTAATGCATGCAATATTATATCAGAGCACGTGGTTTGCAAAAAAAATTACTCATACAGCCCTTTATTACCCAGAGGTTACCGATTTTTTTGTAATGTCTCACGCTTCGAGCGCGCCATTCTTCACGCGATTAAATATTATGTCAAAGTATCAAAGTAAGTGTCGGAAAAATGCGATTTTATGAGCAATTACGCTCAAGAATCATTTCTTTTTTGTTGATAATTCTGCAATCATAATTTTGCGATAATTTCTTGCGCACGGTCTATCAGCCGAAAACCGGTTATCAAAAAATTATATATATACATTCGATGCGATGAACAGCGGTCACCACGGCTCCTCGAGAGTCTCTGTACATCGTGAGCATTGGCCGCGATGTTAAAAATAATGTTTTATGTAATGTTTATTTCATTGAGAATTTGTGAATTTTAAAACGTATTTATGCTATGTAATACTACTTTTTTCGCTTTCATAACAGAAAAAATTTACGGAAAAAAATTTGCTATTAATTCGTGTGTGAACGCCTAAGATACTTATCGAATTACTTGAATTATTTGATGGTGTGTTACAACTAGATTATGATAGTTCACTAGATATGTTACGTGGACGATTTTTACTCTCGTGTCCACAGCTCATATGCGGTGTAAACTTTTCGAGTGCATTTATAAACTGATACCCATCGGTGAGGCTTTAAAAGCCCGAAGATGAAAAATTGACCTCGAAAGTTCGAGTATCATTGCGGCACATATAATATGCATGTATGTGTGTGTGCAATTTAAACAGGTGATTCCTTCGATTATACAAATGTGAGGAAGGTACAGGTTTTTTAATTCACCGAGCAATTTATTTATGATCATCTCTGCGGGTTATAAAGGATGTATATTGTTTCAACGGATATCATATGTGCATGTGTGTATAATACATACTTTTACTCTCGTATCTCGCTTCGATGCTTTAAGTGAACTACGTTCCGATTTTTTTTACCAAAAAAAACTTTCATGCAATGTTGAATTTGTGAAGGTTGCGCGTTTGGGGTATTTGATATTTTTAAAAATGTCTCGCAGCGTATTTGCAAAGAGACGCATCGAGCGATTTATCAACGTTTGTTACAGTCCAGCGGCAAACAAACATGTATTTATTCTTGTATGATTATTGCGGCCTCAAGTTATACTTTGGAGCGACAGAAAGTGTGTAATTTATTCATTACAATTTTTCTGAGTCTATTATTACTTCTTCTTCTTTTTTTTTTTTTTTTTTTTTTTGAATACATGAGCAAAAAATAACTCGTTTCCAAAAAGTCATCGCGATGTCAATGAACGCGGATGGTAATGTTGACAAGGCCGAAAGGACGATCTATAATAGACTATAGCTATGAAAAAATCTTCCTGCTTAAAATAGTAGTAAATAGCTTCGATTTATATTTTTTTCAAGAAGTGAGACACCTTGCGTATGAAAAGTAGCCTAGACTTCTTTTTATACACCTACCGTGCGGCTATATAACCTTTATGTATTAAATCAAAGTTGATTACAATAAATTCATAAATATATATGGCTTTGATATTTGAATTGACCACAGATACTTTTGGGATTTCCAAATTTTGAGAATGTCCACTTTTCAACCAAACAATAGGGGATCACCTAGGCTCGAGGGTTAAATTACACAGAATGCCATGTTACAATTATTGCACCAAGTAAATTACAAATGCGGACTATTACGGCCAAGATTCTTTGATTGATGGATTTCAAGTTCAGGCGATTAAATATAATTTTTTTGCCGAGAAAAAGTTATTAAAATTCCTCGACCAGAACGAAATCGAATTATTTCAATTCGTTTAAACTTTTTTAATTGACGCAGACTAGCTTAATACCTAGCTGCTATATACCGAGGTCATTCGGGTTTTCACATGGAAAATATCTAAATCCGTACCTAGAGTGTGTGAGAGCGAATTAATCATAAGAATTGTTAAATTTAAAAAAAATGAAAAATCTATCTCGACAAAGGATCCAGAGGCTCGTTTAAATATATATGTGAATAAATAAGTAATTATCACGAAAGAGCATAAAGTCGAGCGCCAGCGTATTATGATACAAATTTTATGTGAAAAATTCGAACACCATCTATTCATAAAGAGAGTAAGAAAGAGAGAGAAAAAAATGATTCGCGCAAAAGCCTGCAAATTATGAGGCATTCCTTAACTTTAACCTCTGCGTAAGAGCATCTCTTTTGAGCGCGTCACATTGAGTAATTTAACATTAAACTTCTGCCGCGCGCGCAAAAGAGAGAGAGAGCGTGTAGTGCTTGCGAAACGAAATGTTATATTATGCTCTCTTGCAACAGAATAAAAAAAGAAGTATAAATTATGATAAAGGTCAAATTGGCGACTTCGCGAGCTTTCGGATCATCCTCGATTATATTTGCGTTTGAAATATGAATTTTCCATATGTTTCATCGTCGATAATGTATGAGGGAAAAGATGTCGAGAAAAGCCATGTGGAGGTCATGACTGTACACTGTAATGACAACTCAATTGGAGCTGCCGAGTTGTGCAGTTGCGCCGTGATATTTCTCTGCCTCTCTAAGTAAGTGCAACTTTCTCAATTAGCTCCGCGTGCGCCGATTAATGTAATTGCGCCGCGCGTGATAAAATCTCTAAATGCAGGGAGGACAGGTATTACAATGAACTTGTGCACGACTGACGCAGCTAGTAGATACCCAAGCTACCAAGTGTTTAGAAAACTAAAATAAAGACAATTAAGGAGCTTTTTAGAAGAAAATTTAGTGGAAATGTCCCAAAATTTGCGATGAAAATTTTCAATTTTACTTTAGTATCTTCTTAATGATGCGCCAATTTTTCGACGAAACATTATATCATAGCAAAGGAGCTCGAAGCGAATATTTTCTATCAGATTATAAAAGGAAATTGGCGCGGAACCGGTCAAACGACCAAAATTTGTTCGCACACTAATTTCTCAAAAAGTCTAATTAAGTATTTACCAAAAGTCTTATTAGAGTCTGGCGCGCGGGAGTCAGCACTGTTCTCCAGAGACAGCGAGAGAGTAACAGGCGTACAATTTGTCCCCAAGGTCAAGGCAAATAATCGCGTCTGGCTGTATAATGTGTATCGCGCGGTAGCTATACATTATGCCGCAGGCGTGAGAGTTATACAGCGTCCGAATGATGAGTGCCTACTCCCGCTTTTTTCCTCATTTTTTTTCCTTTTTTAGCTTAAATGAAGAGTAGGTACGCGCGCGCGAAATGATCTTCTTGCGCTTTTTTGGCAACGCTGAGTAGGGAGGTCGTTTTTGACACCTGCGAATTTTGCGAGAGTATAAAAAGCGCGGCTTCTGCCAGATTCGACACATTCAGCTCATCGGTGCTTTCTCGCAGATATCGAGCCAATTCTCTAGTGTCACCTCTCCGTACACACTCCAAAAATCGCCAAAATGAAAACCGTGAGTATAAAATTGTTTAAATATAAAAAAAAAAGAAATAAAAAACTTGTGTAACTCTACGGCTCTCCTTTCATCGAGCATGACACGAGTGGCTTTTGTCTTTTTTCTTTCTCTCGTTCTCTTTTTCTTCCGCAAACACTGTATCATTTTTTTTTCGGGCACATAGTTGACCGAGCGCCTCTTTGACTTTGAAAGTGCGTATTACTCCTTGTCCTTTTTGTATTGTACACTTTGATTTAAAGATTAAGTAATATCCGGTGCGGTGTATTCTTTGTCATCTCTCGTATAATGTATGCACAAAAGCTCGCGCGCAAATATTTTCATTGTAAAATGCCGTCTATTAAGCCATGATACTTATTTACAGCTCAGAGCACACAGCGTTTAACATTTTTTAAATAATTGAACGTCGCTCCGTACATGAAGTTTCAAGTATACTACAAGTGTACATCTCGCGTGTATACGAGTAATTTTGCTCGTTAACTTGTTCTTTTTTTCTCTCGCTATTCGAAGCTGATTTGCGCACAGGCCATGCGTACAATGTATACACTTGTTTGCTTCCGCCTAGCGCCGTCAAAACGTCGGCAAAACTACTTTGTTTATTCGACTCGTTCGCGCCGATCATTAGCAGTGACTAATTCTCCGATTGATTTCTAATCCGGCAGGTCGCACTTTTCGTCGCCCTCTTCGCCGTGGCCATGGCTGCACCCCAATACCGCCAACAAGACGTGATCGTGACCAAGGAGAACCTCCACAACAACATCGGCGTCGAGGGATACAACTACGGCTACGAGCTGAGCGACGGCCAGACTCGCCAGGAGCAAGCCGAATTCATCGCCCCACGCAGCGCCAACGAGGAAGGCACCATGCGCGTCACCGGATCCTACAGCTGGGTTGACCCAGCCGACGGTCGCACCTACCTCGTCCGTTACGTCGCCGACGAGAACGGTTTCCGCGCCGAAGGAGATCATTTGCCAGTGGCTCCAGTAGCTTAAGCGACTATTATTATCTAGTTGAATTGATGTTGGAGTAGACAAATTGTCTTCTAGATACTTAAGTAGCTAGATTTTTATTTTTTTTAAAAGAATTTTTATAATAAAATGATGAAGCAAAATTTTGCCAAAGAAATCACACGCCTTTGATCATTTCTCTCAATTATGAATGTATGAGATAATCATTCATCCTTCAAGTTCATTAATTATATAAGCAATTTGTCGATTACAAGACACAAACTAATGGGTAAAAACTGATCGTGCAGCTTCTAGCGGATTTTATTGAATTAATCAATTGAGCCCGTTTGGCTTATGTTCAGCAAGCAAGAATAAAATCGACTAAGATTTCATGGGAAGAATCTGTTACCGATTTTTCCAATGTAAATGTCTGGGGCATAGAACTGAAACAAAAACACGTGCATAGCGCGCGCACTTCTCCCGCAGAAAATGACGTAACGCCTGCCACATATTTGTTCTACCAAGTAAACACGTGTGTTTTTGTTCCTGCTAAAAGGACGACCAAAATCACTATGAAAAAATTTCGTATTTACAAGCTGTTTATCGAAAGTCTTTTCTATCAGAAGATGAAATGAAGACGATTTGAACAGTAAAGTCATGCCCATTGTTAGTGGTGGGACTTGATATTTTGATAACTATAGATGATCAAAATGCAGTCGCAAAATCAACTTGTTCGAGTGGGAGACATTGACAACCTGACATGCGTATCATTCTAGTGATTGAATTTGTTTATGATTATTTTTCAGTTTTTTTTCTCATTAATGATAACCATTAATTATTACTCAAACCTCAAAGATATAATTTTTCAATTAGATTCCTCTTACAAATAACATTAATTAATTTTTAAAATTTTTTTTTCAAAATTATTTTCGTTACTGCTTTATTTTATTTTTAATTTATGCCCCTTTATTATACTTCATAAATAGTTTCATCAAGTATTAATGATTCTGCAGCTCTTCTATTTTTTTATCATGGGTATATATACCAGCTTCTTACGTTAACTATCAATTTACTATTAAATAGTGAATGAATCAAAATAAAACTTTTTAAGCCTTTTAAAATATAAAAATGATAATACAAGTAACAAATTTTATTCTTTTTTTCTAATTATTTCTAATAAAATAAATAGTCATGTGATCATTTAATCTAAACTCTTACAATAACAAATATAAAATGCATAATAAACCAAAAGTCTTAAATGAAGTTTGGTGAAATTAAATTTCAATTATAAACGATAAGTTCTTGACTCTTATTGAAGATAAATTGAAGGGTAAATGTAAATTTGCATTATAAGATGAGGCTTAAAATAAATATGAAATATGTTCGCTTCCGTCACCTGTGAAGCGTAAAAATTTGGTCAGTTAAAATAAAAAATTCGTCATCGTTGATAGGCACGAAAGCTACACCTTGCCTATGTATTTTTATGCTTTTCAACCCTTTCATAGCATCTTATGCATATTTCAATGTAGCTTGATTCAGTCACATTTATCAGCGACAATCGAAAGTAAATATTAAAAAAAAAATATCCCGCTAGCGTAAATTATTATCATACGCGCAAAGTTTCAAGTCCTTGCACGAACGGAAGGTTAAGGTGATTGAAATGCCACCCATGCTTAAAGAGTTCAATAATTGTATTGCTAACAGTTTCTCAGTCCTTGTCGTTGTATAAAGACTTTGAAGCTCAGCAAAAGTATCAAAGTACTCTGCATAAGCATCAAACGCTTACCTGTCATACGTTTCGAACGGAACAATTAGCAAATATGTTTCAATGATTACGATGAATTTGAAGAATGACGAGCATGCGTCGTAAAGAAATGCGTTAAAAATCCTTACACTCGTAATCAATTACGTCGAGTGAATGAAGTTTATAATTGAAAAAAGTCATTCTTTGTCCCACGACCCTTATTTTTCACAAAGACAATTTCAATTTATCGTCAGTTAAGACGGATAACTCTTCGGAAAGGATCTTTCATCGCTTACGCGCAAGTCCGTTGCGCAAGTCCTCGATTAGAAGCTGCAAAATCGTACAAAACACTCTTAATTTAAGACGTAATCGGTGGACATTGATTGCACTTATTAAAAAGCTCTCACAATAGCCGATGGTTTGTGCCGACGCATGTGTGCAGAAGAATGGTACCAGCTGCTGTGCGCACCATTAGCCGTTACGCGCCTCGACCTTCACCTATTGCACCATCGCACAGATCGGCGCGCATACTTTTGGCCTACGCTGCGGCGCTAAATACAAAAAATACCGATTCCCCTCCGCGCGTATACACAAAGCCTTACGGGACGAGATGTGTTATCTAATGTCCTCGAAGATCCAATCAGACATCATGTCTTATATTGTACGTCACGCCGGTGTACATCATCGCGCTCATATAATACGTACACGCGTGTGCGGCAGTGAATGGTCACGGTGAACGCATTAAATGCCTCGAGTATAGAAGGATCGTTATTATACGATGGGACCGCCCAACTCTTGCAGCGCTACGCGTGTGTACACATTATAGATCACGCATGTCCATGGGTAGGAGAGAAATTTTGGCCGCTCGTTATTGTACCAGCGATGGGAAGGAGTGCGAGCAAAATCTCGCGACTATATAAGCCGCCGCGTCTAACCAGGTTGGCATACTCGTCTGGCATAGCCGTCGCTGTTCCCATCGGATCCCAAAGACTCGCCTACGCTCACCTTTTCGCAAAATCATGAAGACGGTACGTAGCTCATCATCTTGTCAGAGATGGAAAGAGAAAAACTTTACTCTCGGAAGCATTGAGTAAACCTTCCCAAGCAGTGACTTACCAGTGCCGCGATCGTTATAATTACTTTTTGTTTTCATAATTATTTGCGTCAAGTGTCAAAGTGAAACTACATCGAGTGTTTTTCAGTGCTTTTGACTAGTAAATTTTGTTTGTGCTCTGCTATGACTCGTAGAAATTGTTTTTCTTTTCTTCAAAATTGTCCTTATATTTTACAAAGTGATAGCCATTGCATCGACTGCTCGTGTGTTTTTCAGATCGCAGTTTTCGCCGCCTTGATGGCCTGCGCCCTGGCCGCGCCACAACAGCTCCAATCCCGTGGCTCCGTCAAGTACAACGACGCCGAGACCTACCTGGTCCGCGAGACGCCCAGCGACAACATCGGCGTCGACGGCTACCAGTTCGCCTACGAGCTCAGCGACGGCCAGACCCGCCAGGAGAAGGCCGAGTTCATCGCCCCGCGCAACGCCAACGAGGAGGGCATCCTCCGTGTCACCGGCTCCTACAGCTACTACAACCCCTACGACGGCCAGACCTACACCGTGACCTACGTCGCCGACGAGAATGGATTCAGGCCCACCGGCGCCCATCTGCCAAAATCCGTAGTTTAAATTCTGTAGATGATAATATGAATTTAGTCGCATTTTTTGAATACTAATTTTGATAGAAAATTTAACTAATAATAATTAAGTCATTATTATATATCTAAGATTAAGATTTATAATAAAAAATATTTTTTCATTACATACTCGATCGACTATCAATTATTTCTTATTTCATTCATCAATTTCATAATCCAATTAAAATATGCGTGCAAAAAGTTAAAGCTATCTCTCGTACATATTTCAATTCATACAAGTTTTGAAAGAACTTTTTTGTAATAGCTCGCGGAATAGAAATGATACAGAAAATATAATCATCCTCAATCATGCGGCATCGAATATTTCTTTCAATATTTCGCAAAGTTTAACGGCTTTCGTCTAATGATATAATTCTTCGGAGGAAAAAAAAGCCAAATTAACTTTATTTATAAAATGTATGCATACGACTCATAAAGACTGTCGAATGAGAAATTGTCGATGATTTATGAGCAATCAATGGATCATTACACGCCTGTTACATGCCGTTTTTTCGTCCTCTTCTTCTTTTTCGAAAGGAACAATCGAACGAGAAGCGCATAATGCGCGATTATAACTCGAAAGTGAAGCAATTTTTTTTTAATTGCGAGAACCAAATGCCGACCTTGCTCGCTGCCGAGCGCGCGGGAAATTTAATACATCCTCGCGAGCTCGCGCACACGTCCTTGAACGTATAGAGAAACGTAAGAGATCGTCTTCTCTTATAAAAATTGTCCTTTTTTTGGTGGATACGATGGGCATGTGTATATCCTCGAAATTGCGAATTTATAAATATCGAATCAAGCGAAGTATCATCTCCATCGAAACGAAAGGAAAATCGGTAACGCGAAGGAAGCTCGTTATATAAAAAAAGATACTTCACCGGAACGGCATGTTTATACAAGAGCATATAGAAGATTTCTGGTAATCACACGTTCGCCGACAATGAGGCGGAAAAAGGGTCGCCGCCAGGCGCTCATCGATGTATCGCATTCTGCGAGTGAAACCGTAATCGGCCTACCCGTCATTATCTTTTCGATTTCTTTCGCAATGCACTGCAGACGCGTGTAATGTAGGCAACAGGTTCCCGCGCCAGCCCTCCGCCGTCGCGGCCTGCTATACATGGGATGCGCGTTCGATCGTCGCTGTTATTGTTATTGCAACACGATGTAGATCATCGCGGCGCAGGACCACCGCCTGCAGATTCGACCTCATTTTCCTCCTTCGGCTGCCACTGCAGATTTCTTGTTTTCTCTCTCTCTCTTTCTCTTGATCTTTCTCTCATTGCCGCTAACACGCACACAGGGGGTAGGCCAAGGTCATACGTATGCACTGCAGTCGGTGCGCGCGACGTAACGTAACCATGTTCTCGAGCTCTGCTGCCCGGTTTTTCCCTTTTTTACCCTTGTATAATGTAATCCCATGACTCGCGCGTGAGATTATTCTAAGTGCATCATCGCAAAGTCAAGACGTTTATTTTCGTCGTGAAAAAATCTGTATTATACACACACAAACAAACGATGACGTGTATCGTCGAAACGCGCTTACGTAATCGCGCGGGCGCACGGATTGTAAAATGATGTTTTTTTTGTGTTGTTCTTCTTCTTTTCAGCATTTTTCAGAAGACGTTTTATAATAGCTCGGGATAAAGGAGGAAGCTTCGGGACGAGAAAATTTACGAGCTATAACGACGTGCGTACAGGTATAATTTGATGTTGCAAGTGTACGAGCGACGACGAAGATGGATGATGAAAAGCGAGACACAATGCGCCTATTCGACAAATTTTATACTTATAAAGCATACGAGCTTGATTTTTATTCTGCGTGAACGGCCCGCATATGATATCATCATTTGCTTTTTCAACCCTATTTTACTCAAAAAATGGCTCGCGTATTGTTCGATAACGAAGCTGACAAGTAAAAACATCCTAGTTTTGGAATAATCATCAGGCAGAAGATTTCTTTCATATTTTCTATTGTTACATCTTTAACGAGGAGTACGAGAAAAAAATCCAACCTTCAAATCGCGTGAAAATGTATTTCAGTCATTTTTTCATCAGCCCCCGAGCACACTCGGAAGTTCAAAATGATGACAGATTGGTTTATTCAAATTAAAGTAGATCAAAAAGTTGCGCCAATGAACCGCGCTGCTTATGCGATTCCTTTGACAGACAACACCTCGACCGAATTTTGAGGTAAACATACTGTAAATTCCTCGAACACATCGTCCCCGAGTCGATCTTCAAGTTCAACTGCAAATTCAATAATAAGACAACAAAAAAGCTATTAATACTCATTGACTCTTTAATTGTGTAAACGAAGAAATTATTAAAATGTGATCGGTAAAATTCAAAAGATTATGATATACAGGCCAGACGCATATGTTTTACATTAAATAGACAAGCTGCGATCGCGCGGGATTAATTTCGTTCTTACTAAACAGCCATCAATAAGGCGAGATCTGATTTTTTTACATGAATTTTTCGAAATTCTCATTAAATGTCTGGGCCAGAAATAGTCGGTAGTTCCGCACACGCAAATAAAATTTACGGCACGAAGAGACGATCAGCCCATCCTCGTAACAATCGATAGTGTCCGTACAAATATTGGACAATTGCTTCACTCGCAAACATAATCAATGTGCCAATTCAAACATCGCACCTACGGATTATATATCGATGCATTTAATTTCTCGCAATGTTCTTCGTCTCGGTAACACACGCGATTCAACGAAAGAAGTTAATTTGGATTAGCGCATTCTCGCGAGGGAATTAAAATTTTCCAACTCTCTTTCTCTCTCGGTCGATCTTTTACAGCTGCAACGACTAAGTACACTGGTTACATTCTAGATCTCTAGTTATCCGCTATTGAAATAAAAAAAGAGGATTCCAAGCGCGTACGCAGAAGAAGCTTTCAACTATGTGGGCACGATCCTCTCCGTGTATTATATACGCAACATTGATTAGACAGTTATAAATGTAATGCAAAGTACATAGATAATAATTACGACGAACGCAAAGTGGCGCGTTAAAAATGAATATCCAAGATATTCGAATCGTATAGGCATACTGCGCCTCGAGCGGGAAAAATGATGCTTCCAAAGCGTATGTAATGTTTACATGTATATGTACGGCAGATGGACGTTATATTGGTTTATAATATAATATTAGCCTCCTGGACGTCCTTGCCGATCGGAGGCGATCGCGCGCAGCTCGTTAAATTGGAACTTGTGCGTGCGCAGTGTGTTGCAATGGTATAATATGCCCGCAACGACCTGCTGCACTGCACTGCACACCGAGCGCACGGCTGAGGCCTCTTTTTGCACACAACGTTATCTAATGCGTTTTAAAGTAAAGTCCGCCCACCCATGCATCATGCGAGCAAGTGTATATTATATACGTCTACGTGTGTGTGTGTGCGCGTCCGCGATGAACCAATGCCTTGGCGCGCGTTGACGCGGATGATCCAAAAGTGATGGGATGAGGTGAACGGCGGCAATAATACCTCGAGCGCCGAGGAGGATTGCGCGTGCATAATACTCGGCGTTAAGTATCCTATATACCCGCGCACACGTATACACGTACACAGATGCCGAAAGGCAAAGACACTTTTTTTTTCTCTCTCTTTCATTTCTCGTGCCGGTACTTCTTTCTCGCCGTCGTCGTCGTCTTCTTCTTTTTTGACGCTGAAGGACTACACCATCGCTCCTCGCTCGCGTGTACCCGCCCGTGCCCGGCCAAGAGAGTATATAATAAGCTGGATCCAGACTGGACCTCAATCAGTTTTCGATACTCGCTCCGATCGTTCGGTTCTCGCAGTTCTCTCTCCTCGTGAAACAGACAATCATCAACATGAAGACGGTAAGCTTGGAAACGCGATCGAGCTGCTTCTCCTCGGTATCAGTGCAACCATAACGCGCTCGCTCGTCGCTATTTCGCTAAAAGCTCGTAGCGCTTTTTTCGCACAAAGACGCGCAAGCTCGAGCGTTTATAACTTTCAAAATTGACTTGGATCAATTTTTCTTCTACCACATAAGTGCTCTTTTTGCTATTGATAATTTAACATAAAGGTGCTCGTGTGGCTTTGATATTTTTTTCATTACTCGGGTCTATCAGTTTTCGAGTTAATTTTGGCTTATCCAGCAAGTATGTGTATTCTTAAAAACGAATGTGTCTGTGCTTCATGTACGCGAATACACTTTATGGCAATACTAAATTGAAAGGTGTGACAGTGATGACGTCGTATAAATATTTCACTAATGTTGTCGAATCTCATAATTTTTCACCGCGTCTTTGTAAAACTATGTAAGAGTCTCGTACGTGACAATTTTACCGAACAAATGTATTTTTTCTTTGTTTCTTTTTGAAGAAAAAACAAACAAATATAATAATTTGAATAAAAACTAATCTTGAAGGATTATTGTGTTGTTTCGCTCGCTCAGATCGCAGTTTTCGCCGCCTTGATGGCCTGCGCCCTCGCCGCACCCCAGCTCCAGAGCCGCAGCCAGTTCGGCGGTCAGATCGCCCGGGAGGTGAACCAGCAGGAGGTGCACGTGGTGCGCGAGACGCCCCACAACAACATCGGCGTCGACGGCTACCAATACGCCTACGAACTGAGCGACGGCTCCAGCCGCCAGGAGCAAGCCGAGTTCATCGCCCCGCGTAGCGCCGACGAGGAGGGAATCCTCCGCGTGTCGGGCTCCTACAGCTACTTCAACCCCTACGACGGCCAGACCTACACCGTGACCTACGTCGCCGACGAGAATGGATTCAGGCCCACCGGCGCCCATCTGCCCAAAGCTGCCTTTTAAACAAGAAAAAACATACATCTCGAGCCGTATTTGAATAGTTGTTTGTCTTTTTTAAGGCATGTCGTCGGGGAGGAGAGTTTTTTTTGATGAATTAGTTTTTTAAATAAACCATTTTTTCATAAAACAATTTTGCTTCATTAAATTATCCTATCCATTGATTTTTTTTCTTCGTGTAGTGCAATCAACTTAAGTAGAATGTGATTAAGTAAGCTTACTCTCTTCATGAATTTTCATTCAATACAGAAACTCAAGATAGTTTAATACACGAAGTAAAAGTTGATTTCAATTTTTCAGTTACATTTTCGAGTAACAGTAACTTTCAAAAATAAGTCGTTGAAGATTTAAAGAAATTGAAAATATTTTTTTTAATCCTTATTTGAAATTAATATAAATAAAAAATAGTAAAACTATTATCATAATAATCGTAGGGACAATAACTTATTAAAATTACATTGCGTAACGAGAGTAAAATTCGCTAGACTCGAGCAACCTTGAAATTTGTGCCAAGTAGACAAACTCACACCCCCGTTACGTAATGTATTCAGCAAAAAATCAATAAAAATTTTTCAAGTTTTACCCATAAACTTTATTTATCACTATAAGTGCACACAATTTCAACACCTACTATTAAAAGTTAAAATGAAGAAGATAATATTTTATATATGATTCACCTTCAATAATACTGCATATGACATCCAAAAGATTACCGTGAAAAACGCCTCGAGGAGAGACCGATACTAGTATGCAATCGGTATAAAGCGGCAATATTTATAACTTTTGCGAAATCCACTTACAAATATGTAATTGCATTAAAGTATTTTTCGTAATTTTTTCACTTTTTCAATCTATCTTTTTTCCTATTTTTTAAATTCATTCTATCTATGACTGAAAAATACACTCAGAATTAGGAAACAATACGTAAATAAGTTAGTTCTCAAAACTATTGCCTATGACTAACTTTACCCACCAACTTAATAGATATAATCAGTTTTCTTTTTTGAAAAATTGGAAAAAGTGATTTTATCAGGTGTCGATGAATTTTTTATGTTTTTTCTAATATTAAAAAAATTGGTTCCAACGATAAGTACATACATCGTATGAACCGAATGCCATCATTAGTTTAAGCCTATCAAATTATTTTCAGTGATTAAATAGCATTTTCTTTGGAGTTTTTTAACGAAAACAATATCGGGTTTGCATCTTTTATTTTAAAAATTTATTTAAAACGCCACAAAATTTTGAATACATTATTCTATTACTTCCAAACTAAAACCATTTAAAATTTTCTTTTTTCTAAAGTGATTCAAGAAAAAAATCGAAAAAAAATTTTTTTTTCATTTAATACAATTGTTGACGCTTAAATCTAATTGATCAAAACCAATTCGTACTTTATTTGGTACAATTTCATGTGTTGAAGAATATTTTATCATTGATTCTATCCATACTTCCAGCGCACTGCACGCGTCCTTTTCTGTCTTTTCCGATTCTGCCATTTTTAATACTTAAAATGAAAAAAAATTATAATAAATTTAGAAAATACGCAACGGACCAGCTTTTTCACACTAGCGCCCGCTGTATATAATCAATCAAAACTAGTCTCACAAGCCACACTCGTAAATGCGCACCACCAAACGTCCTACGGCACGCTGTTAAACGCTTCAAGACTGATCGCTTTAAAAACTCACCATTCTAATAAAATAGGATTCGGTTGCCGAAAGAGAGTTCCCCAAAGCAGCAAAGCTATTTAAATTTACCCATGCACCTATTTTGAACTTCGTTTTATAAATTATACACCAGACTCAAATATTATTAACTTTTTTTGACTATGGGCTTATTAACTGAGACATATCTTTGATTATTTTGTCGTACACTAGTTCCTTTACGTGTTTTGACCACAAGAAATCAATGTGATTAAAATACTCGTAAGACACGAGGAATCTTTTTTGCAAGTTTGGTAGAATATTAGATAATCTCTTAACATCCTGCAAAACATAAATATACTTAGCACTTTAAGATTTGTAAAAATACATTTTTTTAATTGCGTCTAAAGATACGTACTGATACGCTAGAAAGCCAATCATTTTTACTGTGGTACAAAAATACTTTGCTCGTAACTTTTTTTAAATTGTACTCGATACCTTTCATCGATTGAAAACCACCTGCAAGAAATTCATAGGTGAATGATTGACCAAACAATTTTTTAAATAACTTAAATGATTTACCTTTACTTATTAGATGAGCATAATGCATAAACTGCTGAATGCTCGCTCCCGCTGGGACTTGGTATAAAATGTGTCGTAGCAGCAGCTAATTTAAAATAGGATCACAATGATGAATATTCAGCATCGAGTATTTCAATTAAAAGAAAAAATTGTACTGTACCGTATCGAATTCAGTCCAATCGATACCGACGATTAGTAAAAAGGAATTGACGCATACAGGTTGTAAGATCGATCCACTTTGACAGAGTTGTGAACCAAACCACTTGAAAAAGTAATTGGTCGGTTTGAATTCACCTCGAAGGCCCATCATGAGGTAAAGCAATGGCTATACAACAGGAATACAAATAGAAACGTAAACTTTATCACAATGTCTATATCATATAAAAAAGAATAATCGAATGCAAATAAAAATGATTACTTTTAAGACTTTCCTCATTTTAGCGAGAAACCGCATAACAGGGCTAAACATTCCCTTGCAATGAGCGACGGGTGCAAGCGCAAACATCGCCTCGACTTTGTCGTTATACTCGGGTCGACTGCTGGTCATGACGAAGTACGACGTGGTACCTTGGCTGAAACCCACGTATATAAGTTTATGGCGGTTGGTTTGCTTCAAAACGTAATCGATCGACGCTGGTAAGTCGTATAATCCCATTTCGTGCCAACTGAATATAAAAATCACAGTTAAAAAATGAAGCATAGTTGATTGAGAAAATTACTCCAAAGTTTCAATTGTGGCCTACTCGAATTCCCAAAACTCTCGTCTATCCGGTGACATGCTCTCGTGATATCGAGAGTAAATATTGCCTCGGCTATTACCCATCCACACATCGTAGCCTGCATCGGAAAGGAGGAATCCTGAAAATCAAATCGAAAGGCATTTAATATACATTGCAGGTTGTGAACCACAAAAGTTTGGCTTACCAAGACCTTTCTTAGGTCCCGCTAAGACCCAATCTATAGACGAGGTTAGTAGGCCATGTTGAAGGAAAACCACCGGCTTATCTTGTCGACTTGAATTAAGTTTTCGGTTGCCACTTATCCTGTGAATCTCGAGAATGTAACCATCCTCCGTTACTACATGGTGAATTTCGGATTTATATCCATAGTACTCGATTAGTTCAGGCTAAAAGTTATTATGCACCAATTAATGAAAGGATATTTTCAGATAGAGAAAGATGAGAGTTCAAGTATTGTTTTTTCAGTCATCTATTTGACTAGAAATAATTTTTTGTCAAAATTATTTTTCAACTAATCTGTACTTACTACCGTCAACTTCTCGTAGCTGCTAAGTGGCGTATCACTCGAAGTGGTGGTCAGATTCAGTCCTGGAGGCAGGACATTATTGATGAAAAGTGGATCCGACTGAATCGTTTTCACATATTCTTCATAGGACGGAAGGAACTCACAAGAACAACATAATATACCGGTGACGAATATTAATAAGTTGAAAATCATTGTGTATTGGTAGAAAATCGAAAACTAAATAAATCGATCGAATACATTGTAATCGATCTTATATACTTGGATATCAATCGATGTAAATGATACAGTCTTTGTTTTGTATAGATTCTTATCGTCAAAGATTGTATATCAATGATAATCGAGAATTAGCAGAATCTGTTATTTTAATCAAAAGAAAAATTGGCGTTTCCACGTTCCTCCATGGTATTCTTTATTGATAGACCGTCAACTGACTACGCTCTAAATCCAAAAGATTAAAGGTAACGCTGTTAAGAGTAATATGCGCACATTATACTTTTTAAATTTGTTACCCGCGCAGATTACACTTTTATAAAATCATCGATTTCAGAAAAGAGAAAAAGAATAATTCACCTCAAAATATAATCGACGCTAATTACTTTTTTGCAATTCCTATTGAATATATAGTCATTAAGTATGGATCAAAATAATACTCTTTTAAATTTTGGTCCACCCATACGTCACCAATTTGGATGAGCTTTTGATATGCTATTAATGCATAGAAAAAAATTCGCCGAAGATTCTAGACCATCCACTTTTGGTTTTAGGAATTCAAAAATAACTATAAAAAAACCTATCAATTTTTCGCTTGTTTTTGCGCATTTCCATGCCCCTTGGGTTCCCAAGAACAATTTTTATGGTCGGTTACACACGTCAAGTGACGAAAATTCTAATCGGTATTTTACCCTCTAAAAATTTGGATTTTTTTATAGAATGCTCACGTTATAAACTTTGAAGTTTGATGAAAAATAGTTTATACTCTTCGAAAGTTACTTTATTAGACTCGAAACGATTGATTATCATAAATACCGTTAGCTCTTTACAATAATTTCAGAAAAAATATGTTTTTTAGGTTGAAAGAAAGAATGTTCCCTTAATTTTCCCCGATATTATTTATCCGTTTAAATCATGAAGTCATAATTTTGCACAATTTACAGGTTTACATGAACAGTGGAATTAGGTGAGAGCCAGTGACTTGAAAAAGTGAGACTTGTTTTACTAAAAAAATTTACCATATAATCTTCATGACTAAACTGGCTAATATATTTTTGGACGACCAAAGATCTCACAGCCAGAACTTTAACAGAAGTCCACGGAACTTCGGTTGTTTGCCGACATTCCAATTATATCTATGTATGATTGATATTTTATCAATTACGGACCCTTTTCTACTTATGTTCATATTCGTATCCAGCTAAATAATTAAAATTAACGATTTATTTTTACAAAAAAAAAAATGAAAAAATGGTTGCATAAACGTAACTATTTTATTTAAATGCTTCTACTAAGTTTTGATCTCTTATAAGAAACTCAATTCAAAGTTAAGTGAAAATAAGGATAGATCCATTACAAATTTTGCAGCACAAATAAACAACAATGTAATTAACAGCTATTAGGGATGCCAAAAGTAAGCAGAAAAAAGATGAATAATGTGTTTCTTTTTTTTATCATATTTTGAGTTTGATTATACAATCACTATCAATAATGCATTGATAAAAAAAACAATTGATATGCCAGAGAAAAGGAGGAAAATAATCAATAATCCGTTTTATATTTTATTCTATTTTGAGATGGATAATACAATCATTATCAATATTGTACTTAAAAAAAATAAAAACAATTGATTTTACATTATAAAAAAGTAATTTTTTACCATTTTTTTCTCATTATTTACTTACCTCGTACCTGACCCTGAATAATTATCTATTTTAACAATTAATACCTTAATCAATTTCAGGTTGGTAAAGTCAGCGCCCAGATTTTAAAAAAATGCGTTTTTACTATTTTTATTAACAAGACTCGCTGGTGCGTGAAAAGTTATTATAAACAGCAAAATTTTACGTTTGCGAGTCAAAAATTTTCCATAGAAAAGTGCCTTTTCAAAATGGGTGCTCGAAATTTCAGCACCTAAAGAAAATTTGTCTTATTTCATATTCGGTTATACTTTTTAACACGATTGAGGCAAGAAATCGATTGTTCGTCGAACGCGCAAACGATTGGTACTTTTTATTTCACCCTACGAAATGTAAATTCTGTTAATTTATATAAAATAGATAAATTGATATCATAATCAAATTCTGGTACCCGTGCTAGAACCCAAAGTATTAATCAAAATAAAAATATTTTCTCTCGATAACAATACTAACCGCCTTATTCGAGCCATGTTTTAATCTTCAAATATGTAACCGAAACAACCCTATACTATCATATTTTTGACAGTAAATAAACAAGTTACCCAAGAAAATCAAGTTTGTTTCTTTTTTCGATTTTAGAATATGAAGTTGTAAATAACCAAATCAACCTGAAACTTAAACATTTTTATAATATAATATCAATTGTTTTTGTTTTTTAATTACAATTTCAAGAATGATTGTATTATATATTTCAAAATGAAATAAAGTATGAAATTAATCATTGATTGTTTCCCTCCTTTTCTCTTGCTAAAATTTGAGTTCTAACTTAACCAACTTTTTAATTTTATTTTCAATGAAATTGTAGCTGAACGGTGGATACATATTTTTAATGGAAAAAATCTATATACAGTAAAACTTCGATAATTCGAACTTCTATAATTCGAATTCAAGCTCTGTTTTTAGCGTTTTCGATGTAAATTCAATGTTAATTTACCTCGATAATTCGAACAATATCATAATTCGAAATTTTGATAATTCGAAATGAAATTTTGCATTTAGAGTCAAGATACCATATGAATTTACGTCGATAATTCGAAATGTTTGATGTTGAGTTCAATCCATTACGCGGAGAAAGTGGTAGTGTGAACTATGAATCGGCCGCGGCTTGAATGACATCGCTCGATCCGATTGGCAAAACAGTTAATCCCTAGTGTTTTCGAACTGTCAAAGCAAAGCCTATAGAATACACCTCGAACAAAATAACTTGAAACATTTTTACAAAAAAGAAATTGTCTCTAGAATATTAGCAGGAATGGATGATTCAACGGCTAACATCAAAATAGATTTTTTAGTCGAAAGTAGAATGTTGCTGATATTTTAAACAAGAAACGGAAATTTAATGAGGAATCATCTGATGATGTTGACGAAGGAGAAAAAAGTACCAGGAAAATCATTCCTACATCGAGTGAAGCAATCAAAAAGTTTGAAGGAGTGGGAGATTTCATCGAGTTGTAATAAAGAAGTTTCTGATTATTTATTTTTTGCAATGCAAAAAGTTGAATCCTTTCTTATAAAAAAAAAAAACAAAAACAAAAGCTGTTGGTTCTATCTAATAGTTATTTATGTAACAAGTGCCCAAAAGGCGTTTTTGGGCACGAGTGTGCGCAAAAAGCTGGGCACGTGTTGCATACAAAATTTTATGCAATAGGAGACGAAAAATACTTTCATTTAAGTGAGGCGTTTTACCGCACACCCGTGTCCAAAATGAGGCATTTTACCGCACAAAACGCTTTTTGCGCACTAAAAAATGTGCGAAAAAAGACATTTTTCGTCATACTATTGCATAAAATGACTTTTTATTTTAATTATAATTGTGTTTAAATATTTAATTATTTAATTTCTCCTCTCTTTTACTTTGTTAATTCGAACTTCGTTAATTCGAAATTCTCGATAATTCGAAATTACAGCCTGTATTTAGGATTTCGAATTATCGAAGTTTTACTGTATATTGGATTTCGCTATTATCGATTAAAAAAATTAGTTCTTTAGATTTTCGAGAGGTAACAGCAGCACAAAAAGAAAGGCATTACACGAATCGAAGAAGATTTTGATTCAGTCAGGAGGATGTTGATTGGGGTACTATTTCTATAGCCCAATGCTGTTCGCAGTACACTTTTTTATGACGCATTTTACGTCAATTTTCCCAAGGCCGCCCCAGGTGTTATTATTTCGGCAAATCTCTCAATTTCTAACTACGGAAGATCGAGCACTGGCCAAAAAAATATCAATATTTCTACGTGAAGTTGCGTCAGCTTTACGATGATGGTGTTAGATCCTCTGAAATTTTCGATTTTTCACGGGAAAGTTTTCAATAGTTTTTACTTTTCAAGAGCAAATCTTCAAAGTTGATTATCTCCAAAACATCATTTTTTACATTTTTTTCCAGCAATCTAATTTGAAAAACAAATTTCTTTCCATCGTTACAGAAATTTTTTAAGGAGTTCTTTCTTCTTATTTTACCAATACATAGCAAGAGAAAAAAAATTAGTTTTCGTGGAATCTGCATATAATAGAGGCGGGCAGGCGGACGAGAAAGTTATGTAACAGCATGAATTCTACTTATTACACGTTGATCCACGTTGCATATCGAAGTATATTTGAAGAATCTTGAAATGATAATATTCGATTGAATCGTTTCATCATTTTCGATAAAATACTAGTGTTGGAATAAATAAGTTTTGTTGAGAAATGAAACAAACACTTTTATGGGGAAAAACCTTGTAAAGCATAAAAAATCCTTATATTTAACATTATGTTACAACATGACAAAACGTTGAAATTACACAGTATTAATTCACTAAATAGTTCAAAAAGAAACGATGAAAATTTACAAGATAAACTATTTTGAAAAAAAAGTAACGAAAAAATGATTTTCAGCCTTCCGCTGTGCTGGAGAGCTAACGCTGAACTAACTGATTCGTTTTTGAAGTTTATTAAATTTTTTTAAATTTTCTATTTTACGTTTGCCGTGCTCCGACTTTATGAGGCATCGATCTATATGGTTTCTCTTCTAGCACGGCGTCATTATTTTTCAACATGATTTTTCACTACCACTGGCGCTAAACCGTTGTGATTCTTTATAATAGATGTGTCTTTATGAATAAATTTATAGCAATTAATTATTTTTCGTCATGTAAAACTTCCACTGGCGTTAATCCTTCGTCATTCTTTATATTAATATTAGCTCCCATTTTTAATAACTTTTGGAAAATATCTCGATCCTTAGTTAGATGCAAAGGTGTATTGCCAAACTTATTCGCAATATTGACATTGGCTCCGTTTTTTATTAAATAATTTGCAATGTCGTAGCGTTTAAACATTAATGCCAAATGTAGTGGCGTGCTTCCTATAAGAAAAATTAAAAAAAAATTAATGTAAATTCAATTAAAATAAACGTGAAAAAAATACATTCATATGTGTATCACACCTTCATAATAATTGTACTTTGATTCAGTTGGACTAACCAACTCATCAATATTTGGCCGTTCAGATAAATAAAACTTCTCAAAAAAGTCCAAATCCGTACCAACAGCTAAATGAATTGTTTTCATTCCATACTTGTCAATAAAATTTGGATGATTGAGTAATAAGGATGGGTCCATGAGTTTTGGAATTAAGCGCAGACGTGATCCAAATTTTTTTTTGTAGTCTTGGTCATTTTCATATCCCGTATAAAAATCCTTTAATCGTAGAGTTAACGCATCTTCATTTTGTTTATTCTAAAATGTAAAAAAATGTAAGGATTAATAACGCTAATATTTTATGAAAAGACTTCTACACATTATTTTAAAAAATTTTGTTTGAATTTTCATTCAATTAAAAGACTTACTTTTATGTAAGGATCAGCACCATGTTTCAATAAAAATAAAACGATATCGTCGTAGTGAAAATACGCTGCCACATGTAAAGGTGTAAGACCACCATAAAATAGCACATCCTCGTTAACTTTAGCATTCATTAAATGACGACATTTTTCAATCACCAATTTAATATCTGGAAGCAGAGCTTGGCACACTAAGAAATGAAGTTCGCTGAATCCTTTGTCTTTAAATTCTTCATCACTTTTGGCTGAATTCCGGATGAGTTCAATTATTTTATAGATATCTCTTAGTTCTGATCTATTGATAATCTTATCATCAATATTGAACTTTTCTATGTACTTTTTGTATTTAGACTTGGTACTGTACTGTTTAATCGTGTCAGGGTCCATAATAAGTTGATTGAGCCTCACACTTTCCCATAGAAGCAATTCATATGGGGTATGTCCAAACGCATTTTTCGCGTTTGAGTGTGCTCCATATCTCAAAAGAACTCGCACGTGTTTTATGTTTCTCTGTAAACAGGCTATGTGAAGGGCTGTGAAACCCGGTAAAAAATTGGATGTATCACTAATAGCAGCATTGATGTCTGGAACCAAATCTTCTTTCAAAAACCTTGCCAAAACATCGGTAAATGGTGAGATAGCTACCACATGAAAGTGTGATAATCCTCTCATATCAATAGCGTTTTTTAGATTCAATTTATTTACACTAATAATCTTTTCAATTGATTTTATATCACTAATTTCACAAGCAGTATGCAGCAATGAGCGCCCACTTTCATCTGCACGGATAAACTCTTCAGGACGATTGACTATGTCCTCATCTTTGAAACGATTTCCATGAAGTATAATTCCATTTTGCGATCTCATTTTAGAATTGTTGAAAATGTAAAAATGGAACTTTATGCGACGGTGAAGTGTACTTACACACTTAAACGTTGGTTCCTGGACTTTTTCTTCAATTTGATTTTGTTCTTGTCTCTATGGCCAATGCGTCCTTCTCTCGAAGCAACTCTTGATCAAATGAACCGCTTTGGCCACTGCATCAAACAGACTCGAATATCATCTAAATTTCGGTCACTAATGAAGAGATCTTATATCTTTTGAATGAATTTGAAAGTGAAAGTAAAAAATGAATCATGTATATGGTGGCATTGACTTTCTCATCGAAGTAGACGATTCCAATATGTACTTTTGGCGCATTTATATCAAATGCATTTTAGAAAAATTTGTAAGACTTGCACCGCAATAAAGTAAGTAACGCAAATTTTATTTCTCGGGACTAGCACAGTTTCCGTAAAGATACGGTATTTTTCATCATTTCTAGGCGTCTTTTGATGCACTGAATCGATTTTTCAAAAACAAAACAAAAGTTGTTCGTTTAAAAATAATAAGCAAATTCATATTTTATAAGGTCATATCTTTTAAACTATATTAAAAATAGATAAAGATTTTAAATAATTTTATTCTTCTTTAAAAAATAAATAGATTGACGTATTGAAATTGAAAATCGATCCATTTAAACAAAATATATGGACATTTTTGTGTTTATTTAAAAGTAGCAAAAAACTCTTTTCTGAGTTTTCAACGACCGTGAATTCGTCAAAAATGGATCAGTCAATAAAACGACAAGAGTAACTTCTAGCTAACTCTAGTTAACTTTTAGTAAATGAAAATAATAACACCAGCGTCTGGACTATAGTTTTTGCTTACAAAATTCACTAATTTCCTCAAGTTCATCTTGGTATCTGGTCTTTTAAACCAAATATGAAATCGTCATTACATCTGGGTAATTATCGTAACACATTAGGAATCATTTCATATGATTGATTGATGTTCAGAAATAGTTTATCTATACATTACCTGAGTGCTTTACTCAAACTAGAGCTATCTGAATATTATGGAAAAGTGAACAAAAACATGACTTGCCAGAAAATACAGAAGAAGAAATATTAAACACGCAAAGTATACGATAAAGGCCCCACTGAAACGACTGTAATTAAATATAGCATTTAGCTTAAAAAGTTGAAATTTAAAAAAGGCAATCGAAAGAACAGAAAATACTTTCCCAAAATTTAATAAAAATGTTTTCAATTTTAAGAATCTTTTGAGCATAACAAAAATAAATTTTACCATGTAATTGCTGTTTGTATACTTCATATTGTGTACTTTGCATTATCCTATTCAAATTTTGAAACACAGCTGGAAAGTCTTTTGTGAAGCTACCAGATGTCGTGCCAGTACTTTGGTTCAATCGACTGGCTAGCGCGCGAATGTAATCCGTAAAGTTTTTGCCCGAGCAGACAACAATATTGAAAATGGGCCTCCGACACTGGTGACTCGAAAACAAAGTTTACAATATGTTTTCCAATCTGCTTTTTGACGCGGACAATTAAGTGACAAATGTATCGTGAAAACTTTAAAAATGTATCTTAACGTTACTCCATGAACTTTTAATAATCGTCGATTACCCTATTATTATTAATTTAACAAGCTTCGAGGTCGAGAGGTTATTCAATTTTTCAGAAAAATTTGTAAATTTGACATACATTTTTTTGTGGCAAGTGTTAGCTTCATGTATATAAAAGTTACAAACGAAGTAGACGGTAAAAATGCCTCGCTTATCGATGTTACCTCGCACCTCGCGAATCGTCGCCTTGTGCTCTGCAGCAAATTTCATCAATGCTGCAGATCGGGTCATAATGCCGATTGCCATTGTTCCTATGACTGATGAATATAAATGGAATTTGCATTGGCAAGGATGGATTCACTCTGCCTTTGCTTTTGGTTATTTTTCAAGTCAAGTAGGTCTCTCTTGCTATTTCAATACTTTTGAAGTATCAAATTAATTCATTTTTTCATGCTTGGCTTACTTAAACATGCTTATTGGTTTTGTAGATTATTGGAGCTAATACGGCCAATCGTTTTGGGTGCAAAACTGTCTTGATGGCAGCTGTGTTGTTGTGGTCCATAAGCACTGTTGTAACGCCACTTATTGCACATTCAATTAATTTACTTGTAATGACAAGGGTTATTCTTGGACTTGGAGAAGGTCTAGGTAAGATTAACAGTTTTAAAGGCTCTACTTGATTATATGAATCTCATTCAAATTTTGTGAATGTATTTATATCGAAAGTAATCATACCTAATAATATTTCATTATAAAGGTTAAAATATTTATCTTTCTTTCAGGTTTACCTGTGATATTTCATCTGTTTGCTCACAGTGTGCCTGTAGAAGAACGATCTAGGGCTTTTGGCTACCTTGTCGCAGCTGGATCAGTTGGTCAAGTGGTAGCATCAATTGTAAGAAAAAATGTTTTTGACTCTGACTTGAACAAAGTTATTGTAATTTTATAACTGTTTCATGAACATATGTTTAGATTTGTCCACATTTACCTTGGCGAACAGGTTTTTATTTATTTGGCATAATAGGCATCATCTGGACTGTCTTGTGGACGATTTTATATAAAGAAACAAATTCAATTGAAGAAATACCAATATTTTTACCTAAAGTATGATTTTTAACATTAACATTAATATTTACTTTTTCCAATTTTTACTCATTCTTATTTTATAATAAATAAAAATAGGGACCACAAAATAGAAATTTGAAATGGGTGGAATTCATTTCACACTGGCCATTGTGGGCCTTGTATATAGCTCACTTTTCTATGAACTGGAGTAATTATATAATTATGCAATGGTTACCAACTTACCTTTCAAGAAATTTATCTGCAAACAAAGAAAGCATAAGTTTAACAGCCATTCCATATATTGTCAATTCACTTGTCGGAATCAGTAAGCATAACAAAAATAATTATGATAAGAATTTTTTTTACCATGTATAAATTAATAAAAGAATATTTTTCTTAGTGGCCGGTCACAGTGCTGATAATCTAATTCAAAAACGGTGGTCTATTTTGTCTGTGAGAAGATTGATGACCAATATAGGATTGATTGGACCTGGAGCTTTCTTATTAGCTTTTTGCGCTGTTGACAATTTATTATTAGCTGTCATGTAAGAGTCATATTTTCATTTTAGTTGCTTTTAGTTGTTTTGAAAAAATAATTGTTTCTGTTATTTATTACTTTTTCAGATTTGTATCTATATCAATGGGATTGTGCGCATGCAACTCATCAGGGCATCTCAGTAATCATGCTGATGTTGCACCAAACCATGCAGGAATAACATTTGCAGTATCTAACACTATTGTATGTATAACTAGTTTACTAATAAAAGAAAGTATCAAATAATTAATTTAAAAATCCATTGTTATTAGGCCACAATACCAGGAATTTTAAGTGGACCAATTACTGCGGAATTAGTGACAACATCAGGTGGACGATGGTTACCAGTATTTGTTCTTGCGGCTGCGATAAATTTCACTGGTGCCATTATTTATCAAACTCACAGTTCTGCCCAACCGGTACTGTGACAGTTCCAGCCACGACCAGATGAATCAGTTGATAGTTTTGCTCCACTTAAAGAGCACAGTGTATATTAAAACTCTTCAGTGTCTTAATAGTGAATAATGAATAGTTGGTATGATTGACAATCTGTAAAAAGTGTAGGGTGAATTGTTATTGTTGACCATATCAAACAAACCCAAGGTGATAAAAAAACTATATTTTCATATGTTATTGAATGATACTTCAATTCAGGGTCAAAATAGTGCACAAAAAATCAAATAAATAATTCCATGAATTAATTTTTTGTGGGTTTCAATAATTTTATCATACAAAACTTTAATTCTTAAATACTAATGTAGTTTAAGAAATTCATGTGTTAAAAATGATGATTCTTGATTTATTAGTCGTCAAGCGATATTGTACTATTCTACACGTGAATTTTTTTTATGAACCAAAAATTAAACATTTTTCGTGCACAAATTTCCCTTTGATTTGACACTTTGGTATCTATAAAAAGTTATTATCTATTCAATAATATAAAATTATGTACCATTGACTAATTTTAAATATTAATTAAAATTTTTACCGATAATTTTATATTATTTTATGCAACTGATATTGATGAACTTAAGCCTAAAATTTTATTTTATAAAATGAGAAAAATTCAAAGTAATTTTAAATTTTATTATCTAGAAAATTGATCCACGGCAATGTGATTTGTACATAATAATACGATAAATCGTATATTTGTTTACTTATAATGTAATTTTATGTCTTTGAGTAGAATCAAAGTTCCTAAACTAAAATATATGTACTTGTAAAATAACGATGAAAGTATGAAGTAAAATAATTTTTCTTTTCTCAAAGAACAAACAATTTTATTGAATTTTATTTGTCGTTATAAATGAACAAAATCAAATAAAATCTACTGCTTTAAAAAGCAAGTTTTCCGTAAATATTCCGATTTGAAAACATTTGGGACATCGGCGTTGAAACTCGAGCACGTATACTTGGAATCGGAGCTTTTGACAAGGCTCGTTTTTTCTGGTAACGTTTGCGACTCGGACGTTATTCTGTTGCTAGCCTCAACCTTTTCCGGATCATCTTTCTCCAGTGAAGACTCTACTTGCTGGAGCCTTGGCGAATCTTTATTCCCTCGAGCGTCCGAGGAAATTTGTAGCTTCTGCAGCAGATCAGCCGCCCGCAGATCCGGATCATCGAAGAATGCCTCGGACCTTCTGCGCTCGTCGCATTCACTCCTCACATTCGCGAGATACCTCCTCAGATTGTCGAGGGTTCGCTCGTGATTCATCGGCTCGTTGTTGATGATCTGGCCTATGCTCATCTGCAGACTCTTGTTCTCGGGCTCCTTCTTGATGGAGTCGCCGCTAGCGAACATCGACTCCAACTTTTTATCCCCGCTGTCCCCGGCTACCGGAGCAACTTCCGATGTTTCGCCATTATTTTCCTCGGATTGCGAGAGCGCGTCCCGCGTCTTTTGCTCGTCGAAATCGGTCTCACAGCCCGTCTCCACGGCTCTTCTTTTGGCCCTATCCGAGGCGCAGATCGAGCGATGAAAGTTCTCTGCCTCCTCGGTAGTTTTGGCCAGTGTCTCGTAAAGTCGGTCGATCTTGGAAAAATTGAAGCTTCTCGAGCTGGTGCTGTGCATGGACAGCTTCTCCGTGATCTCCTGCCAACTGGATTTGGCGTCCTTGAGCTCGCTATGGATGATCCGATTCATGCGGCTCTTCTGCAGCTGCATGTCTTTCAGCTGCTTCTCCATGTCCGTGAGGGGCGCGCAACTTTTCGAGCGCGAGTAAAGAGACGACTGACTCTTCAAGTAATCGGCCTTCTTGGCTACTTTACTCTCGGGCGTCAGGGATCTCTTCGATCCTAAACATTTTCAATTGTACATAATAGTTCCTCTGTATTTTTGCATCTATAAACATCACTAATCTGACCTGTATCTTTTTTGGTATCGTCATCTTTTCGGGCCAACGTGAAATCTCCCAGTTCGCCAAAAGTGTAGACGAATCTCGCTGCCGCTGGTACCCTTTTCACGATCTTCTTGTACTTTTGGGCCTTTCTCTCGCTCGTTAATTTTGCGCGCAACTAGAAAAATCGACAAAACAACTCGACATCAGTGGATAATTTTGAAAATTTCCTATCGTTTCCGTCTCTCAAGTGATCACTTTTTACCAACTTGATGATCTTTCGAGCACATCTTTTCAGCCTGCATTTTGATGCTCGTCGCTAAATCACAATTATTGTCCTCGTCGGGCTTGTGCTTCGGGTGCTCCTTCGACGTTGGCCTGAAAAAGTTGTGCAGCGTTTGAAAATTTTCTGATTGTTACTTATCGATTTTTACGAGGTAAATTTTTTCATTATTACTGTCCATAAGAGCTATAAGTTTTTGTGTATTTTTCTCGCGTAAGAAATGAAAATTCAATTTTCTCTCTGTGGATGGCTGTTTTCTCGACGTCACTGTAAATCACAATACAAAACAATACTTGTATTTTGTTGTTATATCTCCGCAATGTGTGGAGCAGCGCAAAAAAAAGTAATTAACTGTTTTATCTTCTTCCGTTGGGCTTTAACCTCGGCATCGTAGAGCTTCTTTGGATCGTCGCTGCTCACGAAAACGGATAGAGCATTGATGCGCTTGTAAGCCTCCGTCGAGCCATACAATTTGGCGATTGGCTCTGAAACGGCTTTCGATTTCAGCGTTGATTTGCGCGAATTGAAATTTTTGTCCGTGTCGTACGCCAGTTTGGATATCGTGATTCTATCACTTCATAAACATGCGGGTTTTTTTTACGGAAATTGATGCGGATGGATAAAAGCGTCGTGGATGCTTGATGACTTTCCCCGTACACCTGAAGTTGCACGCAAGACGATTTTTTCATCGATTCTCGATGATTATATTGAATCGGAAGGAAACAATTCGAATAAACGAATTTTCAAGAATTATTCAGTCTTTATTTATACGATAAACTTTTTTTGTGGTACATCGAAATGTATTATTACATACGTAAATTTATATCAATGTGTGACATACATATATCAATACGTATAAGCGTATATATACATGCCCACACATAGACGTGATTTTATATTATAGCTCATTTATATACTTATGTAAACGAATTTTTAATAGCAAATAATTTATGATTTTTATTATTCTCAATTTTTTCTGGTACTTACATTAACATAACAAATATTTTGGTAACATAGCTGAGTTTCTAACATACTCGTCGAGACCAGCTCGATCATCCTGTATTTTCCTACATCTAAACATTTCTTTTATTATAGCTAGAATTTTTAAATTTTGTCAGATATACTATTCATCGTAATTAGTCAACTGTAATGTACTTTTTTTATTCTATTGTTTTTTTACACCATGAACTCTTCGATGATTGTATTTTATTTTGTTAATTAAATATTTGGGATTTGCATGAAATTTTTTACCATCAGATTATTTATTTATATTGTTTTTAACGTGAAATAGGATAGGGTTTGTTTTAGTAAACGATGTACAAAAATATTCTTTTCCCCAGAAAATGATTGATGAGTTTATACAGATAATTTCCATTCATTAATAAAGTTCATATTAAAATATCAATCAATATACCCATAGAAAGGATCTTCCAGCAATAGTTGAATCGATAATTCGCTTTCCAATTATTTCCGATGATAATTTAAACTTGTATAAATATATATTTATTTTTATCAATCGGTAATATTATTAAAAAAAATACATCAGTAATCAGTATAAAGAAATGTCCTCAGAGCTTGTGGAATAAATATAAAAAAATTCAAAATATCATATCAATTTGTTAGTGCGGCTTATAAGAATTTTTTATGCGCATCGACTTCTCCTTTTTCTAACAATCGAATTTTCATTCAATCGGAATCAGACATGGAAACAAATAAAAAATTCCACTTTCAGCTTCCATTGCGTTTTTCTCGAAACGCAAAAAATACTACAATGGAAGACTCATACATATATTATATTTAACTTAACATTCCAAAATTACAAAAAGCGACGATTGTTGACACCTTTCTTTTCGATTCAATGGATTACAATATATACATAATATATTTGACTTTTATACACAATCATTGATATCGAAAAATTTTTAGGCTAACTCATCAATAAGGATCCGAAGTAAATTCGTGTATCGATTTGTACTGGAAAGAAATAAACGCGATGTACACGGGGATTATGTCGTGTTTGTTTATTCTTTTTTTTATCATTTTTTTGTCATTTTGAAAGACCGATGTATTTCTTAAGCGCTAGAACGTTACACGTATATTTTTCACCTTATTTTCATTTTATTTTTTATCGATAGTTACAATGGAATTGTACGTTATTCGTTAAATATCTTATATACTTTGAAGATTTGAACATTTGACGCAGATACAATACCTTATAGTTGTAAAGTACAATGAAGTTTCGTTGGTGAACATGGAGGAGTTTAAAATGAAGATTCATATGTTTAGGAGACGTACGTGTATATCATGATAAATCGCTTGATTCGTATAGAAAGTGCACATTATAGAGAAGAAAGGTTAGCGGAGATATTTTTCTGGATCACTGACATGCGATTATTAAGACGAGTATACTTTTATGCATAGCGTCGCGTCAATTTATGCTTTTAATCTAACGCGCTCAAGTACGTGTTGATTTTTACATACTCTGCTTCCCGATAGATTTCATTTATTTTTCATCGTCATTAATTTTTCAGGGTAATTTTAAGGTACGCAATTTCCATGCGCATCATTCAACGCGAGCTAACTTCGCTGGGTAGTACTATGCGTTTCGTGAGGCAGTGCATCAACGATTTGGCCACGCTGGAGCCAGACTCGTTAACGTCTTGGCTGTCCTCCTCCTCGTCCTCTTCGTCCTCGTCGTCGTCCTCGCGTCGACTTTGGTCCTCGTTCTCGGCCGAATCTTTCCTCTTCTTGACGCCGCTGTTGCTGCTGTCACTGCTGGCACCGGCGGCCGTGGTTTTTTTCTTGTTGCCGGGATGACAGCAGGGCCCCATGACCGCCGTTGCCAGACACTCGTTGATGAAATTGCAGACCGAGCTGATGTAGACGTCGCGATACGTGGCGAAGTGCTTGACGTGCGGCGAGTCCGTGAACAGGACCAGCTGGGTGCGAACGCCGCGCTCGGCTCGTCTCGTCGCGAAGCGCTCCACGTCCTACGTGCAAAAAAATTCCCTGGCGTTTTGCTCAAAACCGACTTACTTCTCGGTCGAGTTCGTCTTTCATAGTAATACCAAATTATTATACTCACGCTCGCTCGAATCAGCGTATCGGTATTGGAGTAGAGGAAGATCTGTGGCCAAGAGTACGTCTCCTCGGCGAGATCCGACGGGTCGGTTTTCACGGTGCCGCGTTTACTGATGGCGTGGGCAATTATCTGTCACGGTAATACGGCAAATTAGCACAATTGACACTCGATCGAAAAAATGCGTTTATATATAGAGGACATACCTCGAAGAGCCAAATGAAAGAGAGGAAAAATGTGATGACGAGCGAGATCGGCAGATTGGTCACAGGGTGGCCACCCACGATGGCACTGATGGCCCTGTACAAGCTCGTTATGCGCCGTTCGCCCGGAGAACTGTCGAAAATCACTCCTTTGACCTGCAGCGATACACACACGCATTTTAGAAATGTTATTGTGTGCACACATCATGACGAAATCAAACAATAGTATAATTTTTTGTGTCACGTGGCTGTTTGCACAGGCTTTTCTCTGTCGCGCGATTAACTTATGCCGTCTTTTTGTTCTGGACTTTGTGTTACCTTGAGCGGTGAGCCGGCCTGCTGCATGGCATAGCTGATGTGCTGGTAAAATATCGCACCGCCGTTGCTGAACACATGAAAAAAGACGGGATGATCGGTGGTGCACTTGTCGGCGATCACCTGGATCAGCTGGCGGCTTATGTGCGGCAGACGATCGCGACGCCAGAACAGATACTCCACAGGGGCTGTGCAGCGTAACGTGATGCAGCTGCGTAATCGACATGTGAAAGCAAAACGACCAATGTATTATGTATGTCAAAAACGTATTGGTAATTATTGGTCGTTGTAATGTGCGTTTACGCGCGCTGCTAATGGACTTTTCTTTGCCACTCGGGCTTTTTTTTTATGCCTTACGACACGTGGCCTGTGTGCATATTATTCGTAGTGCCTGTCATTTAAAAATATATCGCGATCGATGCACGCGAGCTTTTAAAAGGCGACTCTATAATCCGTAATTTTGCTTGCTGTATATCATTGAGCGAGCGATGCTATGAAATAATGAACGCTTCCACGAATTGCTATCGACGACAGACTGTAAAACCAATTCTGCAACCGATTCTCTTTCAAAAAGACACTCGATTAATTTAATTTAGCTATTTGGAAAATATACTTGACACGAGAAATTATCGACACGCTGACATATTTTCGAGACGACAACTGCTCTTGGCACAATCGATTCGATTATCCGAGTGCCGATAATTGAAAATGTCTTGGCCACACACGCACTCGAAGCTCGCTCTCGGAATTTCTGAGGCCAGCTGACGGACCGGCGCGGTGTGGTGGCCCTGTGTGCATCGTAAAATGTCCATAACGATTCAACGTCATGCGCAATCGGTGGATTCTCACTAATGGCAAATAGTAAATGGCTTCTATGGAAAACGGGCAGCGGCACTCGAAGCGAGATCCGTTTGTCAACGAGTAAATAATAATGAGAGGCATGCATGCATAGAGAGGTATTGGTGTGAGTGTGTGTGTGCGTGTGCACGAGCATTTGTCGCGCTGGCGCCCCTCGATTTACAAGTGTGGTTTGCGAATTGCCGTTCTGCACGAAGGTTGCGACACAAGCACACGCATATACATACACGTAACGTTAGCCATCGCTAGCTTTATTGACACTAATACACAAGCATACGCTTATAAACGAGCATATTGCCATCTAAAAGTTTTCACGCTGCATTGAGATGTAGGCAAAGATTATGTGTGCTTAATTCGTGTGTTGCGTAAAAAAAAGTGCGCGCATTGGCTGGATTGTCAAGGTGAGATTTGCAAAATCTCGACACAATGAATGATGGATACGAGCGCGTATATTTGTGCGAGAAATAAACGTTGATTTTTTAACGAAATGTTTAAAAATTAATCTTGCCTGAGCTTTTGTATTAATGGCGCGCTCTATAACTCAATTAAAATTGCATCCAGAATCGCGGAGAATAAAACATAAAACATTCAACTTGGTTCTACAATATAAATGAAAGAACGAAGGAGAAAGGGGGGAGAAGGAAGCTTGAATTATACAGAGAGCGTTCATTCAAAGCGAAATATAATAAGTGAAAGAAAGACAGGGGAAAAAAGTTTCATAAATTTGAAACGAACTCGGTTGTGGTGAATTTTCAACCGGTTTTATAGCAGTCATTCAACCGAGCTTGCACATAAAAGCTCGGACTTGATGATTCGCGTGTATACGCGCGTTTGCGTGTGTGTATGTGTGTGCGTGTGTGTGTGTGTGTGTGTTTATGTGTGTGTGTGCGTCAACTGATAAAGTGAGAGAAGAGCGAGAGACAGAAGAGTCGCGCAGGAGGAAGTGTCGATCGATGCTACACATATAATACACGGAATATGTAATACATATATTTCATATTGTATCGCACGCAGCTCACTCGGGGCTCTAGAGCAGACACGCAATTCGTCTATAAATTTTTCTCGCCGTAGGCTCGACGGCTCTATCGGTATTTTACCCATGTAATATTCGCGAAAGAAAAAATTAAACATTCCAGACGCGACAACGACAAAATTTTTCCCAAATACAAATGTGTTGCGCTTTGTGTATCGAGCTTTTTTCGAGATGATCGATTAGGAGCGCGCGGGCGAAAGCTCTCTATCCAGCGCGATCATCTGCGATGTATGCGATTGTACTCACCTGCGCTCCTCGTATATAGCGCTGTACTTGGCTAGATACTTGTCCTGGCAGCCAGCCCAACCGAGCAGCACGACGAGCGGTCGCTTTTGCTCCTCGTAAACAAAGACAAAATCGTCGGCGTTGACAATCTTACTGGTCTGTTGCTGTTGCTGTGCTTGCGCTCCTTGTGTCTGTTGTTCTTGCTGATTTTGTTGCTGCTGCTGTTCATTGACGATGCTCGTCGTCGTCGTCGTCGTCTTTGTGGTTCCGGAACTGGACTTGGTCTTGTCAGGCGTTGCCGAGCCCGGAAAAGTGATGTGGTACTCGAGCTCGTCGCTCAATCGTCTCTCGCTCATTTTTATCTGGATTTTTGCGTAGGATATTTACGTTGGAACGAGCGAGCTTGCGACTGCGTGCAGCCCCCGACAGCGACAAGACGACGACGATGATGATAACGCAGCGATGATACGTGCGATGGCAGTTGCAGCAAGCGAGAGGTGCGATATCCCTTCGCCTTGAATGATTACACTATATAAATATACACATGTAGAAGAATATATAGTTAATAGTCGGTGTGCAGCATGTCGCGCGACCACTACTCGTCTGATGCTGCTGCTGCTACTACTACTACTCCTAATGCTGCTACTGCGCTCCGACGCGATCAGCTATCGCATGGACTCTGATTTGCGCTCGGCGCGGCCGATGGGCTCGTCTCGCGAGGCGCCCGACGTCGACGCCTGTGCCTTGGTGTGTATCGTCGTGTGCTCGTGGATGATTATAACTGTGCATAACACACGCTCTCGCTCACACACGCACACCTGCGCACATGCAGGATCGATATTCTCTCCCTCCGTGTTGTTGGCCAAGTGTTGCTGCTGCCTGCCTGCCTGCCCACCCACCTATAGATATATACGATACTGCATTCGCCCGTCGATCCGTATCCTATATAGGTATACGGAATCGCGCACTGGCTGTGCTATATTACGAGGCGCCGAGAGCTCCGTCGCTCACTGTGGCACTGGGTTCTGGTCTCGCAGCCCGAGGAGGATGCACAGCTGCGATCGCGTCCGCAGCTACGTGTTGCGCCGAAGCGCAACTTGCCTCGCGCAGCTGCTGGCCCGATGAAACGAGCTGCACCCCTCGTCGCGGTCCTCTCGTCGCATTCGGAGACCATCGGCGCGGCTACGCGAGAGGCATATCGAAACTTTGTCTCTGCTCGTATCTGCGTGAGTACGCCTGTATGGGTAACCTCTGCACGGATGGATGATTTCTGCGGACGGTGTCACACACACAAGCACACACCCAGCACATATGAGCGCAAGCAAGAATGCACATTCGTAAGCGGCGAGGAAGGCTGCGAATCGCTATAGTACTGCAGCTATCTGGGAAATAAATACGGGCTGCACGGACAGACACAGATGCACACGTTGCGTGTACTGTACAATTACACGGTCAAGGACGTTACCTACTTTTGTACACGCGCCTCGCCTTTTCAGATACACACGCTACGTGCATATCAAAAGCTCGAGAGCTTTTCGAGAACGAGAGGGATCGTGCCTCGATGGGCTTTCCTCCGCTATGTGCTCCGATAAACAGATCATAGATAACGATGTCGTACTTGCAAAGCGTAGCAAAATTCTTCCCGGATTGGTTATATTAACACATGACGGAGTATGAAGTCTCAATATTTAGAGCTCCTTCTGAACTGAATTTAATTTATCTATACTGTTTCACCACGAGTTTTGATGAAATCTACGCGTGCAGTATTATTGAAAAAAGGTGTACCTATTCGCTCTACATCTAAAGTACACTTATCGCGATTTAAAAAAAAAGCTCAGAATGGCATTACCGTATACCGACTATGTTCACTGTAGTGTATTCGCGCCGAGCGGATGTAGGCTGAATATCGCCATCGGTAAAGATAATTACTGTCTGCGAAACCGATGACGCGCTTAAAAAATTCATAGGATACTGGCGGTAACTTTTTTACCAATGACTAGCCAATATCGATAATGCGCGACAGCAGAGATCGTTTACGGCTGATTTCACGGGGCTTCGTCTGCTCGCTTCAAATTACCTACTCTTTTAGGCAAAGTTTTCATCGACCCATATTATTTCTCATTCATTTTTCGAAAAGCTTCATAACTTTTTACCGAACTTTTTGTTCGTAACTTTTTAGGTAAATATTTTTTCAAAAATAAATTTTACCTTTAATCGTACTAATAATTTAGAAAGTAATTTAGTTGAACGTGGACATTTCTTTTTTAATATTTGATGAAAATACAATATTCTTACTCAAAAATTAAATTTTATTCTTGTTAATTTTCGATCTGACCACTGAAACGCCCAAAATTACACCGCAGACTTGTATTATCTTGCAACACATATCATGATTCAGATTTAAAAGTTACTCATATACACGACGTGTCGCTACATCCCATCGTTATCGAATGTTTATTTAATGTCAAAACCACACGCACGCCTCGCACAGCTGAGTCGATGCAGACCTGCACGAATCTATTCCCTGTTCGGTCGCTTAATAAAAAAAATGAAGAAAAAAAATTCATTCGTGCGTTAAATTAATGTAATCGACATGATTTTTTCGAGTCACGATTGGCAAAGAAGTTATACAAATACCAGTGTAACAGCACAAATTTGTAAAATTATTACAGCTCGAACAAGATTTTTTCGACTGTTGCATGCTGACACGCTCACAAATCATTAAATAAATGCGTGTTATCAAGCGCGTACATTAGCTGCTTTAGAATAATCATGTCGCGTGAATTTGACCAGACACGCGTGTCAATAATTCAAGTACGCGATGTATAAATCAATCGGCCTATATCTTTAAGATTGACATAAACGGCACATTAATATTTTTGCCGCGAATTCGGCTATGCGCATACACTTTCATGCATTACAAAAATATATTTAGCTATTGAAAAAAAACTTCCGCAGAATGAGCAAATTTTATCAGTTATCTGCATCGCGCGGTTTGTTATAAAATCGTTAATTGAAGAGAATGACGTCAGGTGAATGACAGAATGCAATTTACAAAAGCGTCGGTGATCTCTTACATACATATTTTAGAGTTGACTTGAATTCACTCGATACATTTCGCCTACACTTGCCCAGACACTAGATGAAAGATCGTGTTATAATATAATAAAAAGAGATTATGGGCACAAAATGGCATGTATGAATAAAAATGCATCGTCCTGCGAATAGTAGATAGACTTACTAGGTATATAATACGAACAGATTTATAAGTATACAGTTCGCTAGAGTCATTGGACGGGAAAAAGCGGAAGTCACATTCGTCACGCGTATATATAAATATACGTCCAGAATGATGCACCAATTTCTTCGTTATATATCTATATATCAATGGCGCCGAGTCACGTGCGTAATGCTATCTGGAAACGCGATGTAACGTGATGCAATGAGAATCACGAGGTGTATACTCCGTATGTGTATATTCGCGACGCACCTTGAAAATTCAATTAAACAATTATCAATGTTGCACGGCTACATACACATTAAACAACATTACAAAAACTATATAGATCGTGCGCAGTGTACAATCTATCGTATAGTTATAGAAAAAGATGTTAATAATTAGCTCCGAGCAAGAGAGAGAGAGAGAAAGAGACGGCGATTAAAGAAGCAACGACTCTGATTCATTTGGCATTGAATTTTTTCCTTTCGGGGTCTATTCCGAACTTTGTAGACAACGTTTTTGAGAATTCAATGAGTAAGAAAGAAAAATCTTCCTGTATCGGCATGCGGTAGTGCTATATCGATCGAATTGCCTTCGCGCAGGTAGTACTCGAGTAGCGGCAACCGAGTATTCCAAATCGGAATTTCCGACGTCGGCGCTGATTAATCAGTGAGAATCTCGTTTGAAGCATGAATTTAGAACATGTTTTTAACAATAAAAGAGCTCAAACAATCAGCAGCATTATTTTCTTCCAAGCGCATAATGACTAAAGTGCGATCATTGCGATAATATCGACTACAATTATTCTTTCGAATCGATTTCCAATGTTTGTAAAACATGTAAAGTAGACACGTAAAATCGCGATCGGTATAAGTTTTTTGCTTTGTAAGTAAAAATATCCAGAACGTTAGAGTATTGGAGACTATCCATAGACGGTAAGAACATGCTGTTGGTTTATTGGCAACTGGCCGCAATAAACTCTCTCAAAGTAGCATCTCAGCTCAAGACCCAAATTTTCTACCTGCGCTAAAAACTGAAGATAAATTACGAAATACTTAGCTAGAGTTTATTTCCATGAATCGTAGAGGCATACACGCAGGCAATATCGCCAACTCAATCGAGTAGATTACAGTGGTGGCTATTGTTGCACCATAAAAGCTGTTGTAGCTATGAAAATGATAATTCGGAGCAAAAGAAGACACGAGAATCGTCGATTTTGTCTCGAACATCTGCGAGCTACGGGGCGTATAGTAGTGTCATATACACTCTACACACACACACACACTACGATCGAGCATGCAGATACAGCGTAAGAAGCTCGCGATTGCCGCGCAAACTCCGATTTGTCGTGCGTGCCGTGGCCCGTGTGTGTTGCTAATATGTTCCGTCTTCGTTCGTTGCTCTACAAAATCGGAGCGAATGTGTACGAGCCACGAGTATAGATGACGAGCGGTCTATAATACACACACATACGAGCTGGTACTCTCCGCGCTGGCCCCTCACCGCCATCGTCCACGCATACACACACACATTCGCACACATAGACAGTCGTTCTCAACCTCGGCTCGGCGCCCTCGCAGCCGCACATAGTGTGTACACACACAGCGAGCTCGCGATTTGCCGCTACTTTACACTGGCCGAGTGCCGACTCTCCTCAGTCGCAAACGTGCAACGAAGTAACTCGCTACACGCTCGCTCGTTTTACCTATCTCTTGTCTCGTTGGCAGATTACACAAGCAAACTCCCTCAAAATGGTTCACGAAGTTCAAACTCAAGTAAGTGTCTTTGAGAGCGGCACACTTTGCTGCACTTTCCTTAAGAATAAGTATATCGATCATCGTGGTTGCGGCAGGTGCAGAATCGTGTCCGGTGCTCGCATGCCTTGTTTGTGCGGCCAAAGTTCGTTGTATTATTACATGCACAGTTTCCTCGACGTTCTCGAGTGTCGTGCGAGCATTTCATCGCGTTAAGCAACTTGTAACTGCTCGAACGACTACACCGCGCGCCGAGAAATAGCACGAAGATTTATAACCTTTTTGTTTCGAACGCACAAGTTAGGGCGCGCGCGACATGGGTGTGCGAATTGATCTTTTTGAACTTTTCGCCGAGACAGCGATACACGATGTTGCTGGTGCACTGGCGATAAAAAAAGCAATAGCGATTAGCGTTGGTCGTGGTCCGTGCGAGGGTGTGTTGTCGCAGCCTAGCCGCAGACTTCGTGGCACCTATTTCTTCGGCCGGAACGCGCGATATCGATTCGCACTCACACCGACCAGAGTCTCGTGTGCATATTGTTATTAATGACTCGCAACGAAGCACCGAGCGATACTCGCGTTTCGGCACAGATGGCCTCGAGATTTTCTATAGGTAATCTCTCGGCCTCTACTGTACGCGCGTAATATATTTCTTACCTCGAGTTACACGATATAGTGACTCCGCGCGCTCTTACGAGTCCGCTCGATAATCACACTTGCATTAGCACCTTTTCTCTCTTCTATTATTGATAAACATTTTATAACGCGGGGGGTCTTGTGACATATTACACGCGGCTCGACAAATAATACAGAAGACGGAAGTTGCCGGTATTATCTTTTATTATTCGTCAACATTTTTGCGCGCGATTTCCGGTGCGTTTCGACTCGTTATTTGTACGAGAAAAAGAAGCAAACGATAGCACTCAGCTCGAGAGACCGACTGCGGAACCAATTATTATAATATTAATAGGATGACGCGCAGTAGCACCTTGGGCACCATCGCTATTCGCGCACGTAACGACGATGACGATGATTCATTAATGAGATGGGTCTCTTTTCCTCGTGCATACCTCATCATAATCATCAGACGCGCCAAATACGTGGCCGCCGTACGTGTAAGATTCCACGCGACGACGAGATAGCGGCACTCGCCGCCGAGTCGCGTGTATTACACATTACAAAGTTACGAAATTCATTCTAGTATTAAGTGATATACTCGCGCACAAATGCCTTGGACGTATTTTATGGATTTATATCTCGATGGTTAATTAAGCTTGGAACGATGAGAGCTTGAGGATGCGTTTCTTTGAAAAATTATTATGTCATTGATTATTTTTAAGCCACTTACACCGCGACTCGAGAATTTCTATGCTACATAGAAGTATCGCTGGTATACGCCTACGAATGTTACAGCACACTCTCTACAAGTAGCACAGCGCATTGCAGGACTCGATGACTATATAGATGTATGATAATAATATAGATCGATCACGATCCCGAGAATTGACCAACGCCTCGCTGCTACTATAACCGTGATTTTCACTAGATGCGTGCACAATGATATTTATAGAAAGTGCACACACTTTGTATTATGACCGCATCGCACGTGAGAAAATCTTCGTCATCCTCGTCGACGCGAGTCTCATTTAATTAGATTTTAATCGGTGCATGTGCAGATTTGCTGCTTTCAAACGAAAATACTACATCTACTTTATATTTATATTATAAATTATGACGCGCACTCTTAAGCGCCGTTAAATAAAATTTATTGCTTATGTTCATATGATGCGACAACTGGGTCCATTTATTTTACATACGAACAATAAAAAAAAAAAAACAACGACGAAAAAAACAACGAATTATGATCTGAATTTTGCCACTGATAAAAAATTCTTCGAAGGGATCTGTAATTTTCTTTCAAAACAAAAAAAACTTCCTTCGTCGGGTCCGTCTCGCTCGTATGAACTAATCAACTTGAAATTTTTCTAAATTACGGACATGTCTTTGCTATCGACGACTGTAAGAATTTTAAACTATTCGCAATTGAAACATTTTCATTTGCATACGTTTAACCATACGATTGTTGACTTGTGCAAATTATGTAACCTACAGCCAAAGCAGTTGAATTAAAAATTGGTCTTTTTATTCTCTTCCATTTCCATTCTTTAAATTCATACTTAATAAATAGTTAATTGTAAAATTTTTAATAATGCAAAATATGCTAAGATACATACATTTTTCCAAATTTATTAATGGAATTTTCAAGAGAAAATTTAATGTGTCCGTACAACCTTTATATTTGGTGATTTATTGATCAAAATATCATACCAACCTAAAATTTCTGTAAGCTGTGCAAGTGCATAATATAATTTGAATATTGTTTTGCTAATTATAGGAAGAGCTTAAGACGAAGCTGACAGAAGCTGGAGACAAACTTGTTGTCATTGATTTCTATGCCACCTGGTGCGGACCATGCAAGATGATTGCTCCTAAATTGGAAGAGCTCTCCAAGGTAAAATTCATCTACATTTTTTTAATCTTAAAAATAGCTCGAATTTGCATATCTTAACAATTCATTCAAAGAGCTTAACAAATATAGTTAATTATTTTATAACCGTCAGAGCATTTAATTAAATATATTCATTTGTTTACAGGAAACCACTGATGTTGTCTTTTTGAAAGTCAATGTTGACAATTTGGAAGCAGTAGCCGAAGAGTATGATATCCACAGTATGCCCACTTTTGTATTTATCAAGAACAGTCAACTTGTTGAAAAATTCAGTGGAGCTAACATCCAAAAGCTCATTGAAACAGTGAACAAACTGAAAGCCTAAACATTCCTAATAAGTTATTTTAAATACTGTAAAAAGATTACAACTTTTCTTGAAGTTTTGCTTCTAGTAATTTTACCACTGTTTGAATGTGGCTTAATGTTTACATAAAATGCACATAATCACAAGTTTTCATTTTTTATACAATTATTATTACCCACGAAAAATCAACGAAATATATACTCTGTACATCACAAAAAATGAACTCAAATTATAAACTTTTATCAATTTAAATTGTATACTCTTAATAGATCATTGTTTTATTTTTATACAAAATAAAATTTAACTCAAAAAAATTGTTTCTGATTGCTCAATTATAGTTGAATAATAATAATCATTAAATTCGATAAATAATGACACTCCAAAATATTATAATTACAACAAATTCATGTTATTATTTATTAATTTCAATAAATTCAACAATATAAAAAATTTAACTAATGAAAATATCATTACAAATATTTCTAATATTTACAAAATTAATTTAAAAACATAGTCATAAATAGTTACACTACACAGTCTATTTACTACAAATTGACCTCAGAGAAAAGAAGCCTGTTCCTATTTTAGAAGGTTGGCCCACCATCAGACGACTAGAAGGCGTCATCAAATTATCTTGTTTTCCTAAATTATATTAAAAAACAAAAAAAAAAACAATCAGTAAAATTAGTTAATTATTCGATTATCTTGTTCTGATATAAAAACATTTTACCTTCAACTGTAGCTTGCCTCAAGAACTGCAAAGAAGATTCAAAGCTCATTTGTTGCAGAGGCGAAGCAGAAGTTTCCATTCCTTTACGACTCATCGGTTGGAAAGAACCATCAAATGTCATGTAGTCTGCCACTAAAGACAAATGCCTCGGATCAACAGTAATGCTATACATATTGAAAACGTTTTTCACTTCCTTGAGAATTACTTTGTTAGCTGCCTCAATACCATACGTTTGGGATACTTGATAAATGTCATTGGTGTACAATTTATTCAGCTCCAAGTAATCATGATACCTGAACATTTGCTCAATATTGATTCCGTCGGTTTTTAGAATCAATCCGCCATTTGAATCTGGGTCAACGTAAGCTTTTTTGATATTAGGAACCTCCCAGATTACTAAATCCTTAGCAACACCTCGCAGAATCTTCGGTATGTCCAAACTTGTCACGTTGACCTCCACCTTTAAAACGACAAAAATAACAATTAGTTACGAAATTTCGTGAATTTCAAAAAATACTCGTATTCGTTTGACTTACCGATAACTCGTATTTTACCCATGAGTGATGTTTAACGTCGAAATCGTAGCCGATGATCTCGGGACATATTTTCTTAACCTCATCCTTTCTGTTCTGGATAGAACGCGCCGACCCTTCCAAAGACCCTGTACATTCGTCGTTGTTGTTGTTATTGTTGTTATTCAACGAGTTTAGTGACTGTTTCACGTCCTCGTCCTTCTCTTTATCGTCGTCTGCGTCTGCCTTCTCCTCTTCCATATCTTCATCTTCGGGGTCGTCGTATTCTTGGTTCTCTTGGTGCTTTGCGACCGATCTGGCCAGAGTCGCGTCCGCGTCCTCTGCCATCTCTTCCTCGTCCGATGACTCGTGCAACTCACCGAGATCCATTTCGCGAGGCTTAGTTTTCATCTTATCGTCATCGTCATCCTCACATTCATCATCGAGCATGGCGTTTTCAGCTTTACTGCTGACTTTCTTGTCCTTGAAGCGTATGTTCGCACCAATTTTCTTAGCCATAGGACTCAGTATTGCTAGGAATCCTTTTATGAAAGACACTTCGAATTTGGCAATGGCATCCTTAGGATGAATGACGAACTCATTTTTGTAGCATTTGTAGGGCAGCAATTCCAAAGTGATTTCATATTTCATTCGATGACCGTTCACGTTCTCAAGCTGGCGTTCTATTTTAATATTTTTCAGAATATCGGCTAGATAGCACCTGTTCAACCTCTTTTTTATCTAAAATGACACAAAATAATTAAATTGAAAATTTCTTCATACTTATTTGATATTATTAAATCAGTCTCATACCCTGTTGGCAATTTTTTCTAAATTAGGTAAATCTTTTTTGAAAGGTATATCCATTGTGGGTGTTTTAATGTTTTTTGAAGCCGTCATGAGGATTTCTCTCAATCTGGGAATACCAAGGGTGACGTTCATTTCACCACGACCCGCGAAGTGGAACGTATTCAAGGTCATTTGTGTAGATGGCTCTCCAATAGATTGAGCAGCTGTTTCAAAAATAATTTGTTATTTTTTTATGCTATGACAATAATATTTACGATAACAAATAAAAAACTGGGCTAAATTTACCTAACAAGCCAACTGGTTCGCCAGGTGGAGCAAATGTTTTCATGATTTTGGCGCAAAGAATGTCTCTAACGTCATCTCTATCGATAGATTTGCTCTTCTTTTGCATATAATTGTCGATTAACTTTTCTTGACTCTCATTCAGTACACCGAAGTGAAGATCCTGTCTGTACTTGCCAATAAGAGGTTGGGGACTCTTATAAACTTGCGCCTTGTACGTATTTTTCGTCGCATCGTCGGAGTTTAACCATTTGTCCAGAAGCAAACTCGCACCTCTACTTCTTCCCGGAATTTCGCTCTTCTTTAAGCTTTTGAGTTTATATTTTTCTTTGGGTTCTTGGGTTTTCGAAAAGAGGAGAAACGGACTGATGCGATTCCTTTGAAGAAGATCGCCGTGATTCTTTTGGAATTTACGTATTTTACGCGCTTGTTTGCTGAACTTGTCCACATCGGACGTAGATTTCAATCGCTCGAGCAGCTCGTCTTCGACGACGGCACGACGATTCTTCACCAAGAAGTCCATTTGGCCGTCATCAAGGAAGCGCGATTTGAGTATGTCCAGGCCGTCCTCGCCGTAAGCCACCTGCACGAGGGTACCGTCCGAATCTCGCACTGTACCGTCATAATGAATCGTCAATCCTTCCATATGCTTGATCAAGCACCTCTGCAGGTAACCGGATCTACTGGTTTTTACAGCTGTGTCGATGAGACCTTCGCGACCGGCCATGCAATGGAAGAAGAATTCTTGAGGCTGGATGCCGGTCATGAAACGACCGTCGATGAAACCACCGGCGCGCGGCGCTGGATCGTAGGCCAGAAAACTCGGCAAACTCTTGCCGCTGATCATGAGAGGTGGACGCTTGCCCTCCAGCTCGATCTGCCCCAACAGACAGGAGATCTGCATAGTATTGACGGTGGAACCTTTGGCACCGGACTGCACCATCAGTTGGAGATTATTTTCAGGGAACTTTTGTATGAGGCCCTGCGGGAGGCAGGTTTTGTTGATTTTATTGGTGAATTCATCCAGACTGGTTTTGTACTTGCGATCGACGGTGTTGCGGAATTTTGGATTTGTCGAGTAAGATTCTTCCATCTTGGCGGCGACTTGCTCGTCAGGCGTGTCTTCGGGCAGCTGCAAGATCGATCTGTGAATGCTCTTGCCGATTCTTCGGCATTTCTCGATGATCTTGGCACGTTTCGCGTCGGCGCGACTCGTGACGATAATATCGCGCGGGCCCAGGGTAAAGCCTATGATTCGTAAATAGGCCATGAACACCTTACCGAAGGCGCTGAGTAATTTGCCGGACGTAGTGCCGCCGTAGAGCTCGTAGGCGCAGTGCACGAGACCGTATTCCGTCGCACCGTAGTGCTTCTTGTCGAGCACGCCGCAGAGCAACTCGCCGTCACGGAAGATGACCTCGGCCTCGGACATGGTGTTGGCATTGTCGAACTTTGTGCCGCACTTCCATTCGCGCGGTTTAGCCGCTTGCCACTCATTGGCGCCGATCTTGGACGTGGCGTCGAGATTTATCTTGGCCTGGCCCCGCGGTATCAGATTGATGATGATGGTGGAGATGACTTGCTTACCCGACCACATCTGCACGGGCTTGATGATGCTTGGTGGCAGCAGGCTCAGCTTGCCCGGGACGTCCGACAGCGCTGAGAAGACGAGCTGCATGTAGTCGCCCTTGGTGAAGAAGTTGCCGCGCAAAGTGAGCTTCACGCCCGAGATAACGTGATCCTGGATGAGACCGCTGAGCGGTTTACCGTCCTTGGGTACGAGGTACTGATTGCTGACGTTGGCGATGTTGTAGGCCTCTGCGCGCGCCAGCTCGTTTTGCGGGAAGTGGGCATTCATCTCGTCGCCGTCGAAATCGGCGTTGTAGGCCTTGCAGTTGGCGTAATGGAGACGCAGGGTTTTCTCACCTCGCAGAATTCGAGCCTTGTGGCCCATTATACTGGGCTTATGCAGGGTGGGCTGACGATTCAGCAGCAGTATGTCCCCGTTCTGCAGATGACGATGGACGATCTTCGGTGTGCTGAATGTATTGTTGGGTTTGTCGTCCGCGGTGAGCAGTCGCTTGGCCAGGGCTTGGCGCTGTGCCGCGTCCGTGGAGCTCAGCCGCTTCACGAAGCCATCTTCTTCGATCATCGTAGCACCCGGGTGAACATTCGGACCGTTTAGGATCATTTGGCGCAGCTCGGCAGCGTTGAAGGGCGTCACCGGCACCGGATACGTCAATTTTGTGGCGAACGCTTCGGGGATGCCGATCTCGTCGACGTTGAGATTGGGGTCCGGTGTGATGACCGAGCGCGCTGCAAAGTTCACACGCTTGCCCATCATGTGCATGCGAAGCACGCCAGCTTTCTTTTCTATCACTTGCTTCAAACCTTGGCAATTTGCTGATTCGGTGGTCGAGCTCATGTCTCTATCGACCGTATGGTCAACATTGGATTGCAACTCTGTCCAGACATTGTGCAGTTTTTCCATATCTGTCTCCCCTCTGGTCTCTTTCAATGCCTTTTTTCCATACTCCGGAAGCTGATCGGTATTTCCATCTTTAATGGCTTGAATTATGTTGCGCAGAGTTAAACAGTTAACAATGATTGATCTATAGATCTGAGTTTGAGGGTGCTCGATCAAACTACCGTTCATATAGTTAACAGGTCGAGCATTTAATGGTAATACTGGTACTATGCTGAAGAAAAATATATCTGTTGGATATTCAATGGTTATATTGTTTAGGCAAGGAAACATGAGTCTCATTATTTCTTTTTCATTTACCCATAAATTTCTAAGAACTTTTTTTGACTCATCTGGCATAACTGGTAAACATTGATCAGAGTTTATATATTTTTTTCTAATTTTATTTCTTGTAACTTTAATTTCCCATAACTTCTCTTTACAGTTTTTGCATTTCTTGTCATCTTTTGTGCCTTTATCTGTTGCCTTTGACTTTTCCTTACTCATAGATTTATTTATGCAATCATACCACAGAGAGTACATATTTTTGTTACTTAGACAATCAGGTTCTTCAGTGATTATATTTGAGTTATTAGATTTGGCATTGTCATCGATACTTTGAATGTATTCTTGAAAGAGATTTTCAACAAGTTCAATGTCTTTCTTCCAATCTTTGTCTAATGGGACTCCTGCAAAAATCGCTGCATCTGATTCAAATTGCTCTACTTTCGTAATATAACCTTTTCTAAGAAGTTTCAGTTTAGAAGCAAGTAATACTTTTTGATAAGGCTCCATTTGAAAAGTATAACAGCTCAAGCATGAAATTTTCAATGCTAATTGTAAAGCCTTATGAAACATTGGATTGACAACAGGCATTGGTAATTCAATATGACCATAATGACCAGTACATTTAAATACATTAGAATTACAGATTTTACATGGTTCTGATGTTTCAGACAGTGGACCTAAAATTATAAATCATTAAGTTTTTAGTCCAGTAACATTAATAGTAATGGTCAGGTAAAAATTCAAAAGCAAAAATTAAGTCAACTTACCTAAATGTGGGTCGTGTAAGCCTCCATGTAAAGGATGTCCCAAGCTGTTGAATGAATCAGGGGTGGTAACTTTTTTACAACTTAAATGTTTAATATCTTCTTCAGTCAAAACAGAAAACTTAAGATTTGTTAGCTCGATATGTTTCGCCGTAATACGGCCGTTTTGTCTTGGATTTTTATTCATTTTATTAACATTTCTTGTACGAATGAACAAATGAGAAAAACTTTCAGAAATGAGAAATCACTCCTTATAAAACTAGCCTTTTAACGATTAAATTATACTTCAGAAGCAGCTACCGGGTACACGTGACTTTGTAAGGTTATAATCACTGCCAGCGTTCGACTCTGAAGTCTGAGGTCAAACTCAATTCAACGATGAAGCGGCTATGTCTTGCTGCGTGCAGCCTGCACACTGCTCGTGTTCTAAAGCATATCGAAAAATACTGGTGGCGCTTCTACGTCTCAATTTCGAAAATTACGTCTGACATTCTGAACACTCGTTCAAAGAGCTCGAAATTTTTTCACCGACTTACAATGTAATTTTTTCCATGTTATCAGTTCAGTGTTATCTCTACTAAAATAATTGATGATTATTAAAAAAAACTCGGAAAATTGAATTTCCCAAAATTATCATAAAAAATCGATATATTATTTGAAAAAAAAGGGGACTAAATATTGATTTATAAAAAAAAAAAACAACTACGATTTTCTCATATGACTATCAGATTTATTGGTCAAATTTCTTACAACTTTAATACAAGTTTTTACTAATACACTAAGAAATTGTTGTTTTACCATAGACAAACGAATAGCATATTAATTATAGCATGGGAAAAGCTTTTAATTGTCAATATATGTATTAATACATATATGCATAAACTATGTATGTGTAATAATATATCATTCAATTAGAGTTCATACAGTAATATACATAAATCAACATATATTAATTATTTTAATCATGTCATTGTAAATAAAGTAAATTAGTTCTATGTACAATTTTTTAATAGTAGAATATACATTCAGTTTTAACCAATATCCTCAATTCGTAAAAAATACCAAAACTACCTTTAAACAGGTGAATACAATTTTCCATTTTTCTCAAAGTTAACAATGCTTCTAATTTTTTATTCTAAATAATTATTTTACCAGCGCATTAACCGAATATTTATCGATTGTAAAATTAAAGATTCTTAATTGTGATGAACGACAATTTTTTTTACTACAAATGACGTTTTTTTGTCAAAAGCGCGTATCTTTTAAACTTGCCGAAAGTAAGTCTTATGTAGCTTTGAAGTATATATGTTTTAAGCTAAATCCTATTAAAATTATTAAATAGTATAGTCGTGAAATAATCTACAATTATGTATTTATTTTTGCATCAATTATCTTTGCAGCATCATCAAAAATAATGTATAAACGATACCTACATTTTTCATTTTGTCTAGGATATATAAATTAATATTTTTCTTATAGTAAATAAAAAAAAATGGAGCAAATCGATCATCTTATATTACTTCTTTACGTCGAATTGCCTCCCCAAGTTCGAATTAGATGCAAAGTTTTATTCAACTTAGCACACCATTCTAATCGATCTTCTTTTGTGTCAGCTGCTAACAGGTGTCTGAAAGCGAACGATAAATATAATGAGTTTTAATTTTAAAAAAATTGTATTGTTGAGATCGAATGAATACCTTATAGTTGTTGTTGATCCATTCAATACCATTATGAGACTGTTTGCATCTTCTGGTTCAGATGGCCTCGTTGTTTCCAACATAAATGTGTGAGGTCTTGCACAAATTTCTCGTGATACCAAATTCACGTTAGTAGTTGTTACAGCTGTAATTTTTCCATTTTTATTATAAAAATACTCCAAATTCAAAAATTCTGTGAAAAATGTGTAAAAAAAGACTTACTTTGTAAATCTAAACTGCCAATAGGAGTTTTCTTGCGTTCGTCATCGGGATATTTCCAATAAGAAATTGTCCCTTCTTTAAGTAAACACCATCGACGATGCCAAGCTCCAAAACCCGATACATCTTCAAACATGGTTAAAAATCCTCGGTGATCAACAGATACTTGCAGTTCGCACGAAGTATGCATCTGTAAGCGACCCTCTAATGGGGAAGAAAATGGAACCTGAAAAAAATAATAGTAATTAGTAGTGAAACATTTAATTACCTTGGATTTTTTTCATCAATGCCAACCTTGTTTAAGGTAAATTGGTGTCTTTGAACCTCTGTTAAACTGAAAATCATATAACCAGATAAAGAGAATGAAGTTGTCCTTGTTGCTGAGGCACCAGCTGGGCTGTGAAGATTAGGCATTACTAACTTGTTCTCGTGCTTAGTTTTTTTAGGAGTTTTCCCAGACTGAAAAATCATCAATTATTTGTGTTTTTTCAACTACCATACTATAAATTAGTCTATAACATCGATCATTTTTATTTACCTTTTTATTACCACTGGAGTGAATATGATATTTAATATCATGAGGGAGGATTTCAGCCCGAGTTTGTAATGAATAAACTTCAATTGTTACTTTGAAGTCACTGTATAAATCTTGTAACTTCAACGTTGACGGGAAACGTACACAAGAGTCTCCTGGATGAGCCTGAACAACTGGAGTGGCTAGTACTGTTTCTAAATGACGCACAAGACATACAAAATGTAAACACGTATCTGAAATGTTTAAAAAAAAACATGTTAAATTGTACGTGTTTTAATGGATTGTATTACTTTGTTAAGTTTAATAAAATTCAAACTATATTACCTTCCTCTTGATTACGGTAAAAATCTTTTTTCAAGGGTAGAGTAATTGCTGAAATAGTTACAGAACCACTCTCTTGAATTTCAGGAGTACCAGGAACAGCGGGCCTCAACGATCCTTCAACTTTCAAACGTTGCACTTCGTTCAACGCAGCTTGCCTCCGTTGAGCTGTAAAATAAAAATTTGAAGTTAAAAGGATAGTTTTCATTTCGTCAATGATAATTTACAAAACCTTACATGCAACTAAGAGTAATCTCTCCCCTTCAACTTGCTCTTGAGAGTTTGTGAATTCTATTGTCGAAATACACAAATTCAAAGCTTGAGATGCTTGACCAATTATAGTATTCTGCTTTTGAACGTCATCCAGCAATCTTCTCACTTTTTCTTGAACCAAAACAGCTTCTTGTACTTCATCGACTGCAGAATCCGAAGTAGTACCATCAACTTCCGGAACTCGAGTTATTACTCGAACAGGTGATTTAACATTTTGATTTTTCATTTTTCTGTACATGCTGACACTATGTACAAGAGGAGAATTATAGGCATTCCCGGGATTATATGACGTTTGAGGTGATTTTGTAGGAGTGGGAACTTTTGGAGATTTGTACCCATGCGAATAGTTGAAGCTATTAGAAATAGCAGAAGGACTCTTAGTACTTTTGTTGAGTTTAGGTGGTGTTGGTCCATCTTCGTCGAAACCTTGAAGAGCAAGACATTCATCGAGATACTCATCCATTTCATCCAGCACTGAAATATCAGACGTTGTGCTGTCTGGATCAGGTTCTATTGATCTCTGCAATTTAATGATTTCTCACATTAAAAAAAAATTATATTACAAATAAAAATTGGTAAAAACCGGTAAACTTGTTTCAATGAATAAATAATTTACCTTCTTATGAAGTGTTGTCTGCTGGCTTACAGCTCTTAAAATACTGCGGCCGAGACTTGTATTTCCAATATCATCATCGCTCTCATACTCATCATTCTAGCATAACATAATATAAGCTAATGTTTATTTAATTCGTAAAAACTTCTTAACCAGATTGTCACACTTACTGGATAAAATTCAGCTTCTGTGCAGATGTCTGTATCAGTCGGATTGTCTAACGCTGCAGTTTCGGGCTCAGTACTCTCAGTGGTGTACTCTGTGTCCGTTTCCGTCGAACCTGAATTAGGTTCTAAAATGGCAGGTTTTTTGAAAGGTGATGTCTTTGTAGGGCTATTTTGTCTAATAGTTGGTAGAGGAGGTGGAGGCGGAGGAGCAGAATTCTCCTGTAAAATACATAAATTACCGGTGTTGTTATAAAAAAAACCATATATTAAATAAAAAATAAGAATTACAGGGGCTGGTGTCGGCTTTACTGGACAAACTAGAGAATTTTTAGGTGAACCCTTTCCTTCGCTGCTCTCGCTCGTTCTCAATCCAGCATTATGGGTAGCTGAAGTTGTTTCCGGACGACGATGGAATCGATTCCTTAGCATTTCAAGTTCTCGCATACGCTCAGCTTGAACGTTGTGTAAAATATCATTTTCCAATTCTTGGGTGCGTTTACCTTGTTCGAAAATATTACGCTGAGCTTCTACCGCGCGTCCGGTATCGACTTTTGGTCGCCAACTCGTCTGATTATCTACGTAAAAAAAAAATAAATTGAATAACTATCTACAATTTCTTTTCGAACTTATTTCAATGATAAATATAAATCGAAAGATTTGTATGCTACTTATTAGAAGACTAGTGTTTTACAGCGTTAAATAAAATGAATCTTGAAACCAGAATAGTTAATTTTATAATCTTCTTAATCCCCAAAAATTTCTGTTAAAATTAGTGCTGAAAAAAAACTTATTAAAAAAGCAGATATTTTGTAAGTAAAAAGCCTTAGGTACTAGAAGAAAATTTTATACATGTAAATATTATAAAAAATTTAATCAACAGTTTACAATTACCGTTGTGCTGAGAGGACGGTTTCCCTTTTTCAAAAAGCTTATTTGTAGGAACAGACATCGTGAGTGGCGCTTTGGGAATTAGAGCTTCTCCTTTATTCCTTTCAAATAGGGCCTTCCTCTCGGACAACGTCATCTCGGTAGGGTCCTTTGTCTTCGGAGTTGAACCTTTGGTCTCAAACATCGACGCTTTACTCAACACCGAACCTGGCGACTGTACGAGGGAACTTTTAGGTGAACCGTTATAACCGAATCGCGAATTTAAGCGCGTGTTACTAACAGCTGGAGAACTCGATCCACTAGTCTGCGGTTTCGTTAATTGTTTCTCTGGCGTTTTACTTTTCACGGGACTCGTAGACGCGCGTTTGCTATTAACGGCGGGTTTTTCGTCGATTCTCGAATAGCTGCTGGTCGATGGTTGATTCCTCAAAAACTGAGACTTCACTGGCGACTTTACTGGAGACCTCACTGGTGATCGCTGTTGGCTCGACGAATTTTTTGATTCCTGGGAACAACTCTTATTGTAATCATACACAATCCGGGAATTATGCGGGGATCGGGTAAATCCCTGTGTTTCCTGTAAAACATTGTTTACACACTACTGCATTAATCAAAATCAAATCCAATCAATTGTTATCTGATTTTTTGTCTAATCAAAAGGAAGATACAGGAATTCCCGACACCACATTTTATTGGCAATAAAAATTTGAATAGTTTATCAAAAATTTAAGTTATCTTTACCAAATTTTCAAAAACCGATTTATCCAGTTTATGTCTTAGAGGGCTGTTACTTTTATTAGAACCATTCAGTCCGCTTGTACTAGGTTGTGGTTCAAATCCACCTTTTACTTGCTCATTCATTCGAGCTTGAACTCTTTCAGCTTTAGATACTGTTTTTTTCTCCTAAATTATCAACAAATTAAATTATAATATTGTAGTCAAAATAGCAATATAATTATATTGATAGGTTATTGTCAAAAATAATAAAATTTATAATTACAATTGTAGGATGAGATAAATCATCTTCCCAACTGTTGATGTCAGTAGCAAGGGCAGCTAATCTTTGCAATCTAGCAGGTTTATATTTGTTACCAGGTTTCACTTCTTCCACAGCGAATTTTTCTTCATTTTTATGTATTGGCGAACTTAATTCTGAGGCTTTGTCTTCTACAAAAAGTTTGAATAGATCAATTTTTAACATATATAATTTCATACATTAGCTAAATTTGACAACACAATAAAATTACCAGAGTACAATTTTCCTAATCGTTGTAATTTTGATTTGGTAACATTTTCTTTTGTAGTATCTTCTTCTTTTTTTAATGGCGAAGATCTTCTAGCAAGTTTAGCGGGAGATCCTTTTGGAGAAACAGATACTTCTGTTTGTTTTTGAGGCGATTTTTTAAAAATAGTTTCTGTAATAACTTGAAAGAAAAATTGTTCAAATTTTGATTGTGCGGTGAAGTAAATAAATAATTAATTGATATTTTGAAACCAATTTGGAAATTTTGGCTAGACGAACAATATTTAAGCAAGAGATAATTTGAATTGAGTTTTTTTTTAATTACCTGGAGCCTGAGATAAAATATTAGCTTCTCTGAGAGGTCTTTTTGACACATCATGACCAGTGTTAGCTAGTTGAGTATTCAGCTTTTCTCTCCTGGCTTTAGCACGCTCTATGATACGCTAAAAAAACAATAAAAAATGTTTATAAATTATTTTCCAATTCTAACTCAATTTACTTTGAGTTCGCTTATTAACCTACTAATATTATGACGCGGATGATTTTCCCGCCATAACATATACTTTTGTAAAAATTTACATGCTGTACGAATGCACGAAATTTTTTCATAGAATCTTAATATTGAATCTCTTTGCTATGCTCACATTTATCGAGCAGAGTTTATACACGAATATGCTCAATCTGATAAGTGATAATCAACTCAATGAATCATAATATTATGAATGAATTAATGATGTCGGGAAATAAAATTGAGATGCTAAGTTTTTCATTGCTATAGAATTCATGCGTTTATTATATCAAGTAATACAACATCTCATCAGCATAAAAATATTTTGTTCAATGAGTAGGATAATTGTGAATACGTCGCCTAATGGTAAAGACGAATATAAAAATAGATTGTACACAGAAAGTACGACGCAGCGCGGTATATATAATGCACATATGCAATATGAGAAGAAAAATAAGCAAAACTCCAAAATTGTTTAGTTATAAACTGTTTTATGACGGAACAATATTTAGCAATGTTTTCAAGACACTTCGAAAACTCGGACGTATGTAGGATAAAATCGAGTTTTTAGCGTTGTATTTGTATAAAAGAAAAAAATCGTGATTCATGCATGCACAAGTTTCGGTTATCCTCTTACTCTCCATTAACATCATAAGTCGATTAAAAGCGATGACAAAATTGATTTACTTAATTAATTGATTAAACTTAATCGATTTACACATGCAAAAATTGTTCATATAAACAATTACTCACAGTAGTGAATGGATCCATTTTTCTCGTTTATTGGGCGAACTCTCAAAGGGGGGTATATGGCCGCGGAGCCTTGCGTATTATTGTTTTAGCGTGCCTTTTAACCACTCAACGCACGCTCGAGACTTCTCCGTCTATCACTGCCTCTTTCCACGGAAATTTCGCTATTCACCTAGTACTTTCACAATTTATCGTCCTAAACAATAAACAAGAGTTTCGCTGCAGTTTGGTGTGCTACTGAACTTCAGTACAGCAAACTAGCGTACACAAAAATGCGTACTGGGCCTGGTGTGTGTATTGTCAGGCGAATGCACTAACTGCGTTTGATTTCGCTTAACGGTTTTCGTTCCGTCGTTCGCTTTTGCTCTCTCTCTCTCTCTCTTATGTGCTTTTGTATTTTAAATTCGAGCGTGCACGAGTAGTAGTGGCTGCCGCCTCGTAGTACTCGACCAACCAAACATCTGTCAGAGAGAAGACGGGAAAGGGAATCCTGTATACAAGCGCTGTATGTAATATGTGTATGATGTTACAATACATACACGTATATAGAAAATGCCGCGACTACAGCACTTACATATCTCACCGGCCGGGTGTATAACCGGCGCATTCCGAGTGTCGGTATATGTATTAATAGTACAACGTTGCCATGAGCCACGCTTATAAAAGCATCCTGCGAGCTCGGCTTAAAATCAAAGAGCGATTTCTTTTTTCGAATTTTCACCGATTACATCTCACATCTGTATCTGTCTGTATATTTATGTCGTTGTAGAGATCGCGTCGACGAGTTGCAAAGATTTTTTTCCGTAAAATCGAGTTTGAAAAAGAATTCACGCCTTTCTCGTAAGGGCGTGCGATGCTGTTCTTATGATCGCGAAGGACGATCGTCGAAATTTGACAACGTTGTATACAATTGTGGGGCTTCTTGCCGCATCCGTGTAGGTTGCATAAACACATTTAAAATTCTGTTCTCCGATTGGCCGTCGTAGAAGAATTTCAAATTCACGGTAGGCCAATCGCAATGCAGTGGATGTCCGAAGTGTACAGAAGATACTAATGAAGGATAATAAAGAAAACAAAAATACAGCACTGCGCTTCATTCATATTTAAGTTACACGCGAAGTTCGATAGCAAGACACGTTAAAACTTTATGTACTTTAAAATAAGTCGTATTCGCTTACAAAATGATATATAAGACTTAAATACTTGAAACAACAATGCTAATGAAATTCATTAATATAATTTCTTCTTAACATACATTTTATCTATTTAAATGCTTAGCTAGTCAAAATTTCACAATACCATTGATGATCACTATTATATTCAGTTATATACTTGATTAGCAAACTATTTGAACATGGAATCTAAATTCACTTTGACAGTGCATGTAAACATATTGTATTATTATATTATTTACACATAGGATGGGAAAGAAAGGTAAATAAAAAATTAAAAGATATAATTCCAACTTAAAGAAGAATCATTTTATTTAGTATCTCTTATCCAAGAGGCCGTCTTTCTTTGCCAATCTGACAATGCAGTCATCAGACTCACCCTGAAACACAAAAAAATGGCTGTTGAAATTGTTTGTTCAATTATGATTTTGTTTACTAAAATATATTGATGAGCTTTTACAAAAAATTGTTGTATAAAGAAATTGAAAATCTGGAGTACAAAAAAGTTTGTCATCGTAAAATGATAATTTTTTCTTTTTAGATTTCTTTACAAGTTTGAGTAGAAAATATATGCTTTACACAATATTGTTAAGTTTTTCTAATGATGTATTTACTTATAGAATTATTTAATAATAAAGAAAGTTAAACTAATTAATTAACTTGAACAACTTTCAATCAATATTCTTAGCATATACCTAATATTTAGATCACGAGTAATCAATTGTTTTAAATGGAAGAAACTCAACTGCTTATTTTCAGACAAATAATCAAAAATATAAATATCATCATTCACAAATAAGTTGAACTTGGATAAAATGTTTAAATTTAAATGGTAAAATTCACTCCAACTGAATGATATAGAATAGTTCTGAAGTACTTGTAACTCACCATGCGTCTGATAGATCCACTGATAGCATACATTTTAATTGTATCAGTCATGCGGCCAGTGACTGGATCAAGATCGACTAAAGCCAATTGAATAGAGGCATGATCCTTAGCGTGGATAATGCGGTTGCTGGCTGAGCTAAATAAAATAATACAACATGAATCAATGCACAAGGAATACCAAAGGATAGTAGATAAACGATATATTTGAGCGTAGTGATTAAGCATGAAAGTGAATAGTTCTTTTGACATAACCTAAATAATATTTTAAATGAGCACGTGGCCCGCTAAATTTGCAATTAAAATTCATTTTCATTTCATATCACAAACAATTTAAAAAAAGGAGTCGAAACTAAATAACTTTGGTGTCTATGAAAATTTATAATATACTATTTAACACGTGGGATTCTTACCACTTTCTGGGGCAGTAGAGGTCTACAAATTCTCCGGCGTCGTTTTCCATTATGGATACCTGAAAACACAAATTCATCAATAAATAAATATCACAGTTAGTAGCTGAATGAATAAATGCAATAGAACGGTGAAAAAAACTTCAATTTAATTTGTATTTTTTCATTTTTTAACTTTTTTTCCGTACCTGCGTTTCTCTATGGTGGAGTAATAAACTAGAAAGGAAGATCTCATGAGAGCGAGAAACACTGCTAACTAGTATAGAGTAGATTGGTATAGCGCTTTGAGTTCGACTAGCGGTTGCTGTAGGAAGCTTAAGTATATGCAGAACTCTGTGAAACAAGAGGCGGGAATTATGAAATGAAAACAAAAAAGATATGTTGTTAGTTTCAAGGGTCTAGAATGCCCGCCCACTTAGTCAGTATTTTGTATTAATTATTTTGTTCTAATTTCTCTCAATGAATAATGAGTCAATGAACCAATTACCTTAAAATATCGATATAACGTTCAGCAGAGAGATACCATTATTCTTGTGGTCTTGTTTTCACGGAATCGTCTTATAAGCTTACTTTAATTAACTTTTAACTTTTACAGAATAGCTTATTTTGACGCTGTTAAGGAAGAGTAGAACGTTTCTATACATTTTTAAATGTAAACGTGCTAGTCTTCCTTAACAGCATCGATTTATAGAATTTATGAAAATCAAAATAAAACAATCAATTTAATTTACTCGAAAATCTGGACAATTACGGTGAAACAAGTCTACAAACATAATTATGTCGATCTTCTGATGATAATTACAAAGTTTCAAGATAATTTCATTAATCAGTGAAAAAAATGAGGACAAAATAATTCGGTACTAAATACCTACTGATTGGGTATGTCTGGTTCTTTAGGGAGAAGTTTTTTTATGTTTAATATGGTTCGAAATAAATTTTAAATGGACATAGAGTATTTTTTGCAGGACAAAAAAATGTGGTTGAGATCCCGTGTAACAGTCACTTGTAATCACATGTGTCATATACGTGCTTATGTGTGAGTGTGTTTGCTTTGACTTCTCAGCAGGCGAGAATTGAAGTTAGGCGAGAGTCGTGTTTGATCGACTCATTGTTACAACAAGTAAATGAATTCGCTTTTAAAAATTGAAATGTCGAATTAAATTTTCTTATTATATTTAAAAGTGTTCATTGGAATTTTTTTCAATTACCGTGTATGACCGTTAACTTGGTTTAATTAATTAAAATATATAATCAAATTTTTTACAAAACAAATAAAAAGGCAATGATTCTAGGGATTTTAACTTTCAGACGTAGCTGCAGAGTGAGACTCGTCGACCATTTAATATGTTCACGGATGTAATTGGAACTAGAACATAGTTTCGTTTCATTTCTGCTCTCACGCTGGCAGTGTGTTGAAACTTGTGATCTGTGAACATTTGATATATTTTTCTGAAGGTTGAACAAGAAATTTGTGAAAATGGCTGCTGCTGTTTTGCTTCGTCGTGCTATCACCCAAAAAATCATGTCCAGAAATTATTCCGCTCACATGGATCCGAAGCAAGCCAGTAAGTTTATATTGCTATTCGACGCTGTTGCAGTATTGATTTATGCCGAGCGACATTATGAGGTTGGCTCATCGCGTCAACTATCGTCTACATTTTTGTCTTTTAGCACCCTCTTGAATTTTTGCTCCCATACATCGATGTTTCAATAATATTCAATGAAAATAGTCGATAGCTATTAAATAAGAAATATCATTTGGCAAGTTTCTTGTCAATATTTTAAGTTGAGATATAATTACAGAGTTACATAACAAAACTTAAGAAATAGTAAATAGTTGTTGAACACTAGTTTATATTTAAAATATTGCTGCGATAGTTTAATGTAATGATAACTGCTTCTTTTATGTCCAAACAGCTTGGAAATAGAAAGTTCCAGAATTAACATTAATTTAATAACAATTAATGTGCAGTTGTTACATTTCGTTCATAATTTTCAGTGGCTGCTTATAAAATGTGGAAAAATTTAACTTACTATGTTGTACCTGTTGTACTTGGACTTGCTGGAGCTAGTGTATATATCAATACTGAAGAACCTGAACGTCCAGAGTTCATTCCGTATGAACACTTGAGAATTCGTTCTAAGGTAGGAATATTTAGAACTAAAATAATTATTTTTATAAAATTTTTAAAAATGTAATTTAATTTTCAGAGATTTCCCTGGGGTGATGGAAATAGAACTTTCTTCCATAATCCACATGTTAACGCCTTACCCAATGGATATGAAGATCATTAAGTAATACTGTTTATGAATTAATACAGCAATGTCATATTATATGTTACTATGAATTGATGCAAATTGCTAAGCTTTGTTAATAGGAAAAATATAAATATTGAAATTGAAATTAACTTCTAAGATTTATACACATTATTTGAAAATCATGCATAACCAATTTATTTTTGATCATAACATTTGTACATTTCCATTTTCATTTCAAAATAAAAATTTCTATACAAGGATTTTCTATAGAAGAAAAAAGTCAAAATCGGTCTTTGATGAAAAAAATATATTTCAAAATAAAAAAATACTTCACTCGATATATAACATATCTTCAATACATAAAATTATAAAACTATTTTACAGTATTTAACTAAGTATTCAAAATTAAATTAATTGTTCTCTTAAATTAAACATAATTTTTGAATACCTTTATTGTACGCAATGATGTTTTCAACAATCATTTGAAAATAGATTATTTACAGTTATTAATCTGAGAGAGTATACAAATATTTTTTGTAATCAACAAAATAATCACTTAAGAATCATGACTAATTTTTTATATGTGACATTTTTTTATTAGTAATGTACTTAATTTTTTAAATTAAGAGATTTTTAAGCATTGTCAATTATTGAAAATATTTTATTTCTAACTTCTTATTATTAAATACAAGACATCTTTTGATATCTCATTTTGGAGACTAGAACTTTTAAAAGTAAAAGATAACTAACGTTAAACATATGTAATACATCCAAAGTAATGAATTACCCACTTTGAATAAATTGCTAAAAATTACTCGTCAATAGCACAAGCTCATATGATACATTAATCATATTTTAAGATCCCTGAGCTTGCGTTTTAGGTAAGCATTTACTTTTTTTTTTACGTTTTTCAACCAATTCATTGTTTTTTTTTACAATTTCTTCATATTGGAGTACTTGCTTAACAATTATATCGACTATAGTTTTTTTATCCGGTGTATGTACAGGTTGGTCTGCATCATAGCGTATAATATGTTGTTTAACTAATTTGTTATACAGCTCAATAACACAATTAAATGTAGGGGGACTTGACTCATTATTTAAAATTTTATCAACAGTACATACTGTACTCTTGAAATCGATTCTTAAAATATCTTGCATGTAGAGTAGATACCTATTTATTATAATAAGATATTTTAGAAATTGAAAGGAATTTGGACCTAGTTCTTGATATGATTCAAATTTAGAGCTTTCACTATCCCAATTCTTTTGTACATAAATAATAAGTCCCTGTAAAGTCACCATTAATTTTGTAAAAGTTGAATTTGCATTCTCAGGTAGGTTTTCTATTAAATTGGACATAATTTCCCTACCTGACTGATTACTTGTTATTGTTTCTAATTCTTTAGAAAAATTTTGATTTCTAAACTGTTTACTTTCAGAGATTGATTTTCCTTTATTCATTTTACAGATGTCAGAAGCTCTGATTATAATGGATTCTACACCAGGTTCTAAAATCAAAAATAAAATTTTTGATTATATTCAGTATGGGGCTGTATATAATTTGAAAAATGTACCAATTATTTGAATACCTGTTGAAACTTGAAGTAAATTTTGTTTATACATGGGGGAGGTTGATGGATGTTCATTTAATAACGTTGATAGAACTGTTGATGATGTGCTTGCAGAAGTAGTTAATGTGGTTGATTTTCTTAATACATTGTTTGACATAGGTGACACTCTTGGTAGAATTCTTGACTCGTTTGTCATTGTCGATGTTGTTGATAGGGCTGGTGACGAATTTGTTGATGAATTTGTCACTGGTCCATTTGATACTGACTGATTTGATGAAATGTAGTATAACAGTGGTGGTTGATATGCAAATCTTGTTGATAAAGATGGTGTTAATGAAACAACGGAAATTGGATTTGATTGAACAATGAAATTACGAGGGGCCATGAGAGAGTCAAGCATGAAATGATATGTATAATATTCTTCATTGTACATCATGGATTCATTTGAAGGCGGTAATGTTTCCAAAACCAAGTTATAACGACTTAAAACGTTCAGATCACAGTAATCTTTTTTTAGACTATCTGAATGTACTATATTTTCAATGATTCCATGATTACTTTCTCTAATAATTTGTTCACTTTTTTGATGATCACTTCTTGTGAAAGTACGAATATTTGAACCATCTGAGAATGCCATTGAGTTAGATTTAATGGTATTTTCTAAAATTTTTTCGGAATTTGACACTTGAATATTTTTCTGTATGGACGTCTGTGTTGAAGAACTTGAAAAAATGTCCCTTGCTTCTTCAGAAAGATTATCATTAACAGTTGTTTCACTACTCACAAGATTAGTTTTGTTGGAAGCATGATTAATGGCACTATTCAGAAATGCATTTGTATTAGGTACAATGCTTTTTTCAAAAAATGTTTCAGCATTTCTGTCTTTATCAATAGAAATCTTCACGCCTGTATTTTTGCTGTTAAACTTTATGATTTCTTCTTGCATAATTATGGACCTTGTTAATTGATTTTCTTGGCCATTAACTGAATTTTTTTTTGGTGGCACATCCTTCATCTTGAAACTGTTATTCAAACTGTTATCATTCAATTTTTCGATTTTCTTGTTTACAGAACTCAAAATTGCTGAGCCATTTGATGTGTCTTTACATAAGTTTTTCTCCAGAAGATTATTTCGATTGACAAAATTCTCGTTATCATGATTAACTGTTTCAACAGAGATCAAGTTTGATTGATCACTTAAATTATCACTAGTTTCTTCATCCGACATACAGTAATCATCACTTAAATTTTTGTCAGAAAATTCTTTATTCTGAACTATTTGAGAATAATTAAAATCAAAATCACCCCCTTCCAATTCTTCTAATGGAGTCTCACTTTCAGACACATAATTAGTTTTTTCATTTGGTACCATACCTTCCATATTAATATGCTCTGTTACACTTTGAATACTTTTGGATTGATCTAAATTAATGTCAGGCTGATCCAATTTCAAATTTTTGCAAGGTGGTTCAACTACTTCATCATCATTGTTTGTTTTTATTTTTTTTCTTTTTTGCCGAATAGCTTTTTTATTATTTATTTTTATTAGTTTTGATTTTTTTCTCTCTTCATAAAAAGATGTACCATGATAGAACTTATTGTATTCTGAGATAAGTTTTTGACGAGTTTCTATACCATAACTATGATATTCAGGTAGACATTCAAAAATTCCATCCCCAAAATAATCTAGATCAAAAAATACTGATTTTTTATTAAAATTCTCATTTTCATTTTGATTCATAATTCTAGTTTCCACTTCAATTGTTTGATCATTTCTATTAATCATTTTTTTGCCAGTTTTGTCTACTGTCAAGTGTGCATCATTATCCAAAGAATCTTCTTGCTTATTTATTTGATTTCTTGTTTCTGAATTAGTACCTATTTTTGAAGATTCCTTTAAATAACCTAATGATGTACAACTCTGGTTGTTTTTGTTATAATGTGAAGGTGCAGAATTTGCCACATCATTCTCAATGTCATTTTTTTTATTTATAAAACTATTATTCTCTGATACAGGGCCATCATCATCATTATGATGCTTAATACATGCAGAATCATTTTCAAAATTATCCATATCTATTGTAAGTCGATTTTCATCATCCGAATCATCGGCAGGATGTGATTCGACTACATTAAAATTGTAACTATCTACTTTTGCTGTATCTTCTATTGGTTTATCAGGAACCATAATAGGTGGTGCTACATCACTAAAACATTTTTTTTGGATTTCAGAGTATACTGGATTTTGAATTTGAATATTTAATGTGGCTTTATGAGCATCTGAATTTTTAATCATTTCATTTTTAGCTACTAGTTTGAAATTTGAGTATTCTTTTGACTCTAGTTGAATAAGTGTAGTGTTTTTTGGTTCATTATCTGGTTCCTCTTGTTTATTTATATTATGATCTGAACTGAACTTTTCTTCTTGTTTATTTATACTTTGATCTCTACTCAAGTATTCATTTTCTTTATTGTTATTTGATTTTTCAGTGAAATCCTTTAAAATGTGTTCTTTCTGACATTTAGAAGATTGATGAAACTTTTTAGAATTTTTTTCTGCTTGTATGTTATCATTTCTTTGATTATCAGATTTTAAACTAAAATTTGTGTGAGAGGATAAATTGAGAGTGATGTTATAACTATTTCTTTCAATTGGTGGTGCATATGAATTTGAGTCCAGTTCAGGAATAATTTTTTGAGTAATTTTGATATTTGTTTGCAACACTTTTTCTTGTGGTTTTGAAAAATTTTCATTTTTATTTAATATTATGTCATGATTGACATAATTTCCCTTTGGTAAAGCTATCCAATTTCCATGATTAAATCCATCTCTTTTAAGAGTTAATTTCATTTCACTATGAGTCTGTCGATTTCTTTTTTTTTTTACAATATTTTCTGATGGTTCTTTGTTGATAGGTTTGCATGGAATATGAGAGATTGGAATTTTAGGTATAACTTTCGACACACTTGGACATTCATTGGCAGAATATTCTGTATCAGAATATTCAGAATCGCGTGGTTCATCATCTCCAATAGAAGAAACAGACCTATTATCATCTGATTTATATTTTCTTTTACCATTTTCGAATATATGAAATGGTTGGTTGTGGTATGATTTACAAAAAGAATTCTGGTTCTCATCTGGCAGATTCATGATCATCATTTTTTGTGAAATGATTTTCTTTCCATTATTCTCGTTGTCATATCTGAAAAACATGAAGATAATCTATTAGAATTTTTGCATGTATGAGATTTGTAATAAAATTGTTCTATATTAATATATCTTATAATAGCACAAAAACTTTACTTATAATAAAAAATACTTGAATAAATTTAAAAAATTTGCAAAAGCAAATGAAGTAATGTACTACACTTGATTGGGTTTAAAATTTTAACTCCATAAATTTAGAGTGAAATGCATTTCAGTCAAGTACCTTAATGCCTTGTCAAGTACAATTTTTTTCAACTGTCCATTTATTTCAAGAGAGCCCTTGTGAATTTGTAATAAATTGTAGTTGTAAAAATTTCGAGCAAATTGATAAAACTGATTGAATTGCCTCATCAGCTTAACGAGATTCATGTCTAAAAAAAATTGAGCCCGCAAATTTATCGTTGAACGCTTATTACTTTTCTTGAGCAAAAGAAAAAGTTCAACAATTTTGGATTTTGGATTTCCGTTGGCATGTCTACGAGTTATTACTGTATTGGATTTAATGTGTGACGAGACGTTTTTTCGTTCATCGTGTCGATTCTTACGACACATGTATCTTGTCCGTTCATTGTGGACGGATAATTTTTTCCTATCGATCTTTTGCTCAGCGACGATGAATGTCGTCGCGTCTCTTCGCAAAATCTCAGGCGGCCTCTTCACAGCTTGCTCGAACTTGGTGCAGTAACCACTGACATTAAGATCACATCGAATTTTGCACGACTCATTGTTTCTTACTAATATGTCATCGCTGACTTGACTGGCTGTTCTTGTATGCACCGTTGAAGAGTCGATGTTTGCATTGCCTGCCAAAGTCAAGTCATTAGATTCATGCATGTTTTCATCGTCTCTGACGCTGCGTTGATGCTGTTCGTCAATTTCAGTAACGACGAGATGTTGTGTAGAAGCTACAGAAAACGACGACGAATTAGCTGCGTCGTGCGCTATGGTCGATACATCGTTTTTACTTGATTGATTTATAAAAATTTGTTCACCTGTATCCCAAGGTTCGCCATTGGAGGACCAATGGGGATCGGTGTCGCCGCTGACGATCATCGATGTTTCTACGATTTTTTCAAAAAATTCATTACTAGTATTATCGACTGTATTGTCAGTATAAGACCGATCTAGCCAATCGTCTAAAACTAAATACTCTTTACCTTCGATATAGATGCGTTTGGGCGCCTTAAACGATCCACGACTATTACAAAGGCTGCTCTCGTCATTATTCGAGAGAATAATTTCGTCATTTGAATTTTCAACGGGGTTTTTGTTACTATCGTTGCTTTGAAGGCTCATTTGATCTTTGCGAGCGTCTATTTTGTTCTCTGACTCTTCGTTATCGTCTGACTTAAGGTCACACGCGAGCTCGTTGAAATGCGTAAAGTTCGTATCGCTATCGATATAATCGTCATCTCCAACACCTACGAAAACACTTTTACGTATATCTTCTCTCTTTATTTCTTTTTTTCGATAATTTTGCTGATTTTTGTTGTCGCCGCACACCATCGTTACCTCCGTGGTCATCTCGCTGTCCGTGGGAGACGGCGGATTGCCACTGTCGAAATTTTTTGAAGAGTTTGTGGAAATTGTTCGCCGATGTTCATTGGTATCCGCACTTTTCAATAGCAACATGTTACAAGCAGAGGCCAACAATTCTATTCTTCTTTGCTTGGTATCCGGCGAGGGTAGTGACATTGCCTCAGGATCATCGACAATAATGCGCTGTTTGTTGCGATCCTGCGATTGATGCACTTCTGGGAAGGTGTTGTATTGCATCTTTGCAATAGGAATATCTCCCGCTGTCTCGAAATCTTCCTTGCTCAAACTCGTGACCTCGCTTATTACCAAAGAGCAGAAGAGCGAATCTTCGATCGGGTCTTGGCTTTTATTTGTCATGTTTTGGCTTATGACAGTCTCAAGAGTTCGTTGGGATCTATTGTCATTATAATCCTGTAACGACATCTCCTCGTCGCTCGATATTTCGACCACGTCCTGTGGCATTTCCACAAATTGCACTTCGTCGTCGTCGTCATCTTCGTCGCTGATCTCAATGACTTCTTGCGTTTGACAGGGCCTTCTATGCTGGGTCGGTTTGTTCGACACAGTATCGCTTATCAGCTTGCTGCCGTGCAAAGACTCGACCGGCTCGATGATCATCAACGGCGACAACGGCGATTGTTGTCTCTCATTCATTTTTCCATGGAACGAGAAGCACCGCTAATCTTAGATTTCGACGAATTACGTTTCAGCTACTAATTATTCGCGCGCGGACACTTGTTGCTTTTAATGTACAATGACGCGTCGATCGCTTGGCGCAAAAATACAAGTTCGCGTAATTTCGCTACGTATTTTAAAATATAAAACGGAGCGTATCGTTGGCAGACGATGTTACTTGCGCAGCGGTTCATCGCCGACTGACTCATGTTGCTATAGAATCAAGCGAGGAGGGTCTCTTTTTCTCTCGCATATTACCCACACAACTCGGAGCGACGCGCAGACGCTTTCTCTGCATGTGCGTATTAGTATTATCCCGCGTCTCTTCTCCTCTTTCTTCTCTCATATACCTATACATGAAACGTCGACTGCTACTTTTATATATTATAATATAATCTATAAAATCTCAGTATTTTTTCGGGACAGGGAGGGGGGCAGCACGTTTTCTTCGCAGTAAGTCATCGAGAGCCACAACTCTTGTGTTTGCGTGTTCGTGAGTGTTTTTTTCAATGGTTTTACGATCATTTTTACTATTAACGACCTTACGCAGAAGCATAAATCCAGCAGCGAGGAACCTAAATATCAGTTATTCGAACTTGCAAGCGACGAAGGCAGCAGTTCATAGTAATAAAAGCGTTTAAATACCGTAAGAGCTTGCGGTTACTGTGAATACATTCTGCGAAGTTTATGCAGCGATGGTCCTTCCACTACATCAAATCAATTATTGCCGTGATAAAAACTGAATATATTCTAATCGAATGCATTACCATTTGTGCTCGACGCACTGACATACAACATACTTGTATTATTTTGAACTTTCATAGGCTCAGATTCTGTTCAGAGTAAAGGTAATTGTATGATGATACATATGATAGGTCGATGGGCGGAGCTAATAGCAACTACCACCCACCTAAGAGTATCATTCGACTGTAGAGATGGAAAACAGTAAAAGAAAGGGAAAAATAATTGACAGTTCGTATCAATTTTACACCAATGAATATATATTAATCTATTAAAAATATTTTTGAAAAATGTGACTTCGTTTCATTTCAACTCCATTCATTCATTTCATTTCATTCCATTGGGGAATGATAAATTTCTATATAGATCTAAGATCTCGATTATCTCATTGAATTTCTGTCTTGTCAGGCACGGATAATATGATAGCGATATTTTAATATTGAAAATGATAAAGATGCTGTTTACTTTGGAATGTAGTTCAGTTTTTAAACTTACATAAATAAAACAATCGCTTTTAAGATGACTTTCACAACACTGACACGTGATACCGCCAGCCTCATGCACGCGTGCTATGCTACATAATGTGCAGAAAAACATAACGTAGCTCTGCATAAAATGACATTTAATATCAATGTTTTTCAGCTTATAACAAATGCAATGCTACTCATGTTACTAAAAATAAATAAAATATACTAAAATTAAACAATAATAATTGAAACTAACTAAAATAATACTTTATCCAACAGGTGTGAAGAATTCAACAAAAGCGACAAAATTTTAATTTTTTGCAAACTTTGCCGCTAGCGTTTGGTTTTTGTGCTGAAAATTTTGTATCCTACTTGTTGTACATGATTTTTCAACAAAATTCAGGACTGCACTATAATAGGGTATTTGCATGAAAAAAAAATCATTGAAATAATTACGTTATAGTAAAATATACGTATCAAGGAATGTGGGAGTAAACAAATAAACAATTTTGAACAGTCAGGTAATTTTTAATACGAGAATAAAAATCAAAAAAATTCTAAAATTTTTGAACTCAATAAACAATTTTGATTGGTCCGCATAACTGTGACGTCATACTTATAACCTAAGTCGGCTGCTGTATGTAATTTGTATACCTCTATATATGCGTCTACTGATTAGTATGACGTCACGGTCCGCTCGCACAGCTTCGAGCGCGTTCGGTGCGTTTTCGGCCGTTTGAAAAGTTGCATTTTTTGAAACGATAAATTTTTAAGTAAAAACGCAATGAAAAATTAAAAAAAAATATTCATTGATAATTCATATATATTGATTTCAAAATTATTATTACTTTTTTTTATGCAAATACCCTATTCTTATTTTTGTAGAAATGCATATCCGCATCCGTTTTCTGAAGTACTACATGCGCGAATTATGAAAAATTTCAATTAATAAATTAACAGTTACTAACTTGATAGTAATTGCTAAAAAAATTGCATAATTACTTTGGGGTGTTATCTGGGTACTCCAATTCCGCTACATTTTTTAAACGAGAAATAATGTTACTTCTGTGGTATCATTCTAATGTATAAAATTATTTCCGAAGAACTTTTAGGTATTTTTGAATTTTGAAAACAAATTCTAAGAGACTCGAAAAAATGCCAAAATCTAATCAGGGATTTAAACGAAACCCCTGCTTTTAAAAACGTAAATTGAACAAATGTAATAACAGAAGTTGATTGGAGTTTTTCTAAATTTATAATTTCGATGAGACAAAGAGTTAATTTCTCGGACCATGAAGAAAAATGAAAGTAGCATAATTATTACCATAAAAATGTGAATGAATGTGTAGAATATCTGTTCTGTCAAAAATTTTCATTACTCGACAAAGAAAATTGTTTGCACCCTGCATAGTTAGTTGCGCAATATGATTTTTTCATTGTATTTATGATAATATGATATGGTAGAAGGTGGTATCAATAAAAGAAAAAAAAAACAAATCCTGATGTGGGTCAATGCATCAATATGCAAAGCTTTGATTTTCAATTGAAAGTTAATTAAGTTCCTCTTAAATTATGCCTTCCAAAAACATCAATTGTTCAAGCTTAATATCAATGGTAATCGGTGGAAAAAGAAATACTCACATAAATTTTCCGATATTTACTTCGGGTTGACCCATTACTTGTTCCATTGCTTGTTGTAATAATGGTTTGCTTAATCCCAACATCTCCAAGCTATATTTTATCTGCAATATATAACGTTACAGTTCACTAATAATTTCAACTGTCACTCATCGAAAAATTATATAAGTCGATCAAAAAATTTATATTATGAGATGCGTACTGAGATGATTGCGGTTGGTTTCAATTAATTAATTTTAATTTTTTAATTTTTTCGCTGTGAGCAATATTTTTGCAGTAAAGTCATGTTTTTATTAGCACTGCTCATGCAACGCTCTACCGAAATGAAATGAGTTTGATTTTCAAGAGCGATATGTGGATCTGCGGAAAGTCTCTCAACGACTGGACGCGAGGATCGAGAGTCGAGACTCACCACGCTGACTTCTATGAACTTGCTTCGTGGGAGCAGCATATGATGTCTCGAGGACGCAGGCGCTGCGAGTATATTGTGGGCGTTTATTTTTAGAGGCTTTTGTCGATGGGATATACGATTACAATACATGTCGCGCTTTATCAAAGACATATGCAAATTTATCATTTGGCTGATTGGTAAAAAATTTTCGATTGATTGGATCCAATGGCTTATTATATACTCTAAGACACAAACACACACATTTGACAATTTTGTTACCATAAATAAAGAAAAAAACTAATGTTAACAATTGAGGTGGAAATAAAAAACGAATGTATTGAATGTCATGCAGCCTTGATCTAATGAAAAAGCTTAAGAGTACTCAATCTTGTAAAGAATAAAACAAAAATCCGTACCTTTTTGAAAAGTCGTAGTTTCAACCCTTCGTCTTTTTTTCTAATGCTCCCTCGCTTCTTCGCTTGGAGCAGGCAATTCGCGCATATTCTGCTGCAGCCCTTCAAAAACGGATAGTATTTAACGTTAGTGTACTCTCCTTCGATGAAGTGCAACAGCTTCACGTATTTCCTCTTGTGTATCCCAAAAGGATTCTCGCAATAATCAACGTTAGCTCCACAGTACAGGCCCCGGCACTTGTCGCATGCATCGGGAAACGTTTCGATAAATATTTCATTTTCGAAGGATCTGGTGACAATAGGCATGTCGCTCTGAGATAACATAGCTCGGCCCATCATGTATCTACAGCAATATACCACCTCCGACGTATCAAGTACCTCGCCACTACGCCGCCTCATCGTCGAAGCGTTTTTGATTCTCTTTTGTTTCGTATCGATTGCTGCAGCTGTATCGATTTCTTGAGCTCTGTAGATATAGATGATGACAAAATGACGAATTGTTAGATGTGCGTTACAAATATCGATGGTTTTTATCATGCGTGCAATTGAACGTAGCGATGCGCAATCATTCTCGCAGGTCTCGGACGAACAACAAGAGAAGCTCTTCGATGAGATGTGCGAACGCACTGCAGGCTGCTACCGCTCTAAGGTCACGCACGGCACTAAGCATTTTGCTATTTTTTCAATGGCCTGTATCATCGATGTATTATACACGCATCTCATTTGTTTTTCGTTGTTTCACACGCACAAATCTCTAGGTCAACTCAATGTCACACGCAGCTATGGATACACGCGTGTACACGATTATAGACGTTCACTTTTTCAAAACAAAACTCACCTCGTTTATTCGTTACAAAAACGTGTTGATAACACTCGAACGTCGTTTAAACTGCAGTGCGCGGCCGGCTAGCAGACAGATTGGCAGCCTCAATCTGCGAGTATAGCTACGGCAGGTCGATCACTTTCTCACGCGCGTCTTATATGTTTGTTAGATCACCAATGCCCGCGTGAAGCTAGTACGCTTCATGCCGGGGCTGCGCTGTAAACATTATCTCCTTGTGTCATCCTGTTTCATACGGCAATTGATAACGGACGAGCCAATAGTCCCAGTGCCTGTCGTGTGTTCGCCGTACAAAGTCGTGGTATTGTTGCTAGTGCGTCGTTGCTCGTTTCATCTATTTCCTTGAAGGGTTTTGCTAAAACTGAGTAAAAGGAACATTTGTTTTGAGTGAAAAGAATATCTATACCTCTTGATTTTTTGTTTTTTTTCGCGTTGATAACATTCGTGCGAGTTATAACTTGCGCGTAAACAGATACGTAGAATATTGTGCGTGGTTGGTGTATTTCGATACGTTCGCGCCATGGTATAAAGCTTTATTCTTTTTCTTGGAAACTTCTCGATACACGAATGCGCCCGCGTTCGACGCGTTCGTCGTTAGTAGACATAACAACTTTGTAAGAGACGTACAGAATTTTTTTATTTAGTGCTCGGCTCGCAAAATCGAAAAAACTGGTTCTGTATCTCGTGAAAAAATCGC